CATTAGTTTATTGTTAAATTTTTTTATTTTTTTCAATAAAAAGGAGTATTATTTTTGCATTTTCATATATATTTTATCACCACGGAGAAATAAAAGGGTATAAAGACAAAAATTGACACTCCTGGACCCGTTTAAAACCGCATGTGTACGGTAAGTTGGCCCGTTCCACAGAGGAAAGAGAAAAAAATTGACACTCCCTATTCTACCTTTCCTACAAACGCTCCTGGAGCAGGGAATTTGAAATGGGGGAAGAGTTTTTTTCACCCTGCTATTATATGTTTTTAATTTAAAAGGAAACAACATATGTACTTAGTGTGATTGACTATGATCCTTGTCTTTCTTTAAAATGATCATGGTTCAAATCTCAGTATGTATTTTTTTAATAAATAAAAAAAGTAATTGTGAAGACCAAAATGTTCTTCCTACTTTCACTCTCGTTGCAGAAAATTTGAAATGGGGCTCCCGTTGTTCCCTTCGGTGTATTATATTATACTAGCTTATTACCCGGCCCGTTGGCCGGATTACTGTATGTTACCCACTTGTGGAATGGGAGAGAAAGCAAGTAAGAGTGAAGGGATTGGGATTCCACTTGATTAGGACCGACCCACTAATCCAATTCTTCCCGACCCGCCCCAACCTACAGGGTCAGAAAGAGTCAATAAGAAAATACGAACGGGGAGGATTAGTCATATATCTTGACTCTTCAGAAGTGGGTCAAACAGGATCAAGGTTGGGTGAGGGCAATTTTTAGCGCTAAGCAGAGTTCTGGGTTGAATACCTTTACTTAGGCCTAGAAATTGGTGTTGATGCAGACTGCAGTTTTTATTATACCATCATCAATCATCATTGAATTAGTCCTGGGCATCCCTCCCCGTTGTCGGTCTGAATTCTAATGATGGCTTCATTCCTTGCACCAGCCATATCAGCGAGTTGCCATCTCGAGCATGATTTGCCTATGTACAAATAATACAATTAGAGTATGAAAATGAATTCAATGAAAAGGAAAAGAGAATTCTATCACATGCCAATAAATACACACATAATAGTTGAAGCTAAGTGAAAGTCATTACTCGCACATCAATTCTCAAAAATTACAGACTAAACATTGGCTAGAATGGCACTGAAACTACCAAGAATCATGGACGAAACAACTTGTCAAATTAAATAATCCTTATACTGAAACTACCTTCTAACTTGAAATAAGACATGATCACAGTTCATAGCTCTCTTCTCACTATGAATTGGTTGCAGCTCATCCTTATCACTGCCTCTCAAGCTCAATTCAAACAGAATAGAGACCGTTATGTAAGATAACCATATTCTTACTGATCATAATTCCTTTCTTCACTCCATTTTTGTCGGAGAAAAGAGTTATCCCCCTCTCCTGCATTTCCCTTTCCCCCTCTCTTCTCCCTCTTCTTCACAAACCGATCCCTAAACCAGCAACAACAACACAAAAATAGCCTTCGCCTCTCCCGTCTCCATCTATTGAACGCATTGGTGGCAAGACAGGACTGCAGAAGCAAAATTTTCTAAAATCAAACTAAATTTTTTTAAACAGACTCAACCACGAAAAAAGAGTAAAGCAACAATGCAGTAGAACCCTAAATTTAACTACAATCAAGCACATATCAGCAAGATTTTTGATTTGTCTGAGAGTTAACTACACGGAGAGAACAATTGATGCATAATTGAAATGCTCCAAGCAAGTTGAAGGCAAACCATAACTTTAGAATTTGGTCATTATAATAACCTTCAAGTATTGATGCTTCTAAGAACTATCATGTCCAACCCCCACTTATACAACTACGTAGCCATAGTAATTAGTTGTATAATGAGAAATATTACAAAGAAAACTACATAAACAACCAATGTAAGTAAATATTAAAACTAACAACTGATAAAACTTAAAATCTCTCTATTGGTATAAATGTATCTATTAGTAACTACTATGCAATCGAGTATATATGATTTTTAGGCACTGAATAAGAAAAGTATAGATGGCTCACAAATGAAGACGTAGCAACTGAAGGTAGCACACAAAAACCAAAAATAGAAAAAGAGATAAGAAGAAAGGCGAGAAAAAGTCAAACAAAGAAAAAGCCCACATAGGAATACCTCGCTAGCTTTAGGGACTCTCTGCCACAACTAACAACCTTCTTAAAAATCTAACACCCTGAGACATCAAACAAACCTCCCACGACACTAATGTATGGCATTCCTATTGTCCAATAGGTTTGCCCAATTTAGACTTCTAAATAAATGGACTTTTCACCATTAAACCAAAACTCACAATCATTAACAGTTAATGCAAAGACATACATTTCTGAGGCCAATCACAGCATTTAAGCATAATTTTTAGTTGAAAAGAACAACTAAGTATTTAGCTAAATGATATAGTAGAATGGACACAATCTGCTACCTACTAATGATATAAACGTGTACCGGTATCATCGTTGTATCCTGACTTGCCATTTGCAACTGGCACTTTGAAAGACAGCTGCATTTTAGAGAATAAACACCCATAAGGGCGTTACGAAACCAAGCTTAATCCAAAATCTTCATATTCCACTTCGAAGACTCCATTTTCAAAAATAAGAGAGTTTAACATGTCAAATCACTCATTTGAAAAATCTCAAACAACTATTAATCAATGCAATATAATGGCACGTTCCAAATTATGTACTTGTAGGAATAATCTCAAATAATTATCAATTAATGCCCCAACTACCTAATGTGCAGAATAGCCCTGAAGTTGTGCTGTTGTTTGCGTTGGTCTACCTTCAAACATAACATAGTTGCATCACGAACCAAAGCAATTAAGCAAAAATCTTCATATTCCAAGTAGAATGACTCAATTCAATTTGGCCAACGCTTTATACATATTGTTTACCCCTGGACCTGTTGCACTTGCGCCTTCAGATCTTCGTGAACACAATACAATTGTGGAGAGGAGGCTGTCAATGGAATAAAAATTGTTAATTAAGTGAATCACCATACAACTAAACAAACGCGCTCTTCTTGATTAGCTATCAAAATAGTGGGGGTCGCTACAATCCATCGGTTGCTCCCTCTGCGCCTAAGTTGTAGATATTAGGTTTCAGTGAGAACTTTGAGTACATGAGGAGATATTTTGTAGTGGAGGAGATGACCCGGCGAGTAGAATAGGAAGATTTGGAGAGGCTGCGATGGGCAAAGCAGTTAAAATCGAGATTTTACCTAAAATCGAAAACTGAGGTAAAATCAAAATCGTATAATCGAATCGTAAAATCGTAGGATTTTAAGTACCATATAGAACATAGCATATAAGAATATTAATAAGGTAAATTATTAATATCACAAAGACACATAGCATTTAAAATGATAATTCAGAAGATTTTTTTTCCATAAGATAATTCTCAAGATTAATGTTCCAAAATCACTATTTTAATTATTATTTAATGTGTAACTCAAAATAATTCATGATGAAGGGATATAGTTCATGGGTTTGGCTCTTATTTTCATGTTATGTCTAGGTTGTTTAACTCAAAGTAATATTTCGACATCGTCTATTAAGTATGATTTAAAACTAAAAATAATTGAACTCCAATAAAATAAGTAATGTTAGTGGCTTGGTACAAATATATTCATTAATAAATTAATTAGTTAATAATGATGTTAGTTCTTACATACTTCCAATATTAGGACAGGTGTTTTACCAATAAGTTAAATGGGGTGAAGGGAAAGAGATTAACCGAACCCTAATTTGGTTATTTTTATTATTTTTGAATATTTTTCTAATAGAAAAATATCTGAGAAGATTCCATTGCCCTTTTCGCTGAAACAGTTATACTTATTTTAAATTGGCTCAAACCACCTATTTTGTTCTCTTACGATCAAAATCCCGATTTCGGTACTATTTTACGATTTTAACGATTTTAGTCCCGATTTTAAACGATTTTAAGGTCCACCGATTTTATAGTAAAATCAAGATCGGAATCCCTAAGTAAAATCCTAAAATCCTACGATTTTACGATCAAAATCCCAAATTTGATTGCATTGGCGATGGGTGCACGATTAGTGGGCCAAATAACAGTTTGGGCCCGTTTAAATGAAAACATATTTTTACTTTCGTGCTCAACAGACCGACCGCACTGGCATCTTCTAAATTTACCCCTAAAAAATTGCTCTGTACGCATCAAATTTGAAATGGAATCCCTCTTTTCTCATTTCACATTTCACATTTATATGATGTGTAGATTGTGATGAGTGTAGATGTAGACCTGTCATTGTCCTACAAATTCATTAACACGCCAAAAAGTGGTGAAATGAGCCACCCTATTAAACACAATCTTGTATAATGATCATTGGATCCAATCATGCCAGATTATGAAGAAGTTTAAAATGTAGCGGTTATCCCGACTAAAACATTAAAAGAACCAGTCTCATATAGTTTGCACAAAGATATAATTTCTCCATAGTAATTCTGAAAAATAATATTAATTTAAGAAGTCGATATTGCTTCTACATGTTTAATATTGCAATTCGATATGCAATGTTCGAACCAGTGATATTTGGGCTGCAATTTTAGGGTTATTGTATATTTATAAAATAGATAGAAATTTAAATTAAGTATTAAACTACAACTAAAATAATCAAATTATTAAAACACCAAATAAGTACTTACGGGAGATTCAGTGGCCAACTAATCGTTAAAAAAGTCATATGATTTTCATAATTTAGGTTCGTGTATGTTTGAATTTAAATAGATACAACAAATATACTTGGTGTGATTGGTTATGGTCCTTGCTTGCCTTTAAAGAGACCAAGGTTCAAATCCCAGTGCATGCCTTTTTATGAATAAATAAATAAGAAAATAAGTAATTGTGAAGACCAAAATGTCCTTCCTATAATCACTCTCGTTGCAGGAAATTTGAAATGGAGCAACAGTTTTCATCATTCGGCTTTTATTTATTATCTAGATTATGTGTAGATAATTTCGGCCATTGGGCTGTTGACTCGGCTCGAGTTCTTTCAGTTTGGCCCATAAAATACTTGAGAGAAAGATGGGCCCAGAACAATCTCATTGGCGAAATTATTTTATACTTACATAGACAGGACTAGCCTTCCTCCCTTTCCTCGTTCTTTCTTGTTCCGACTTCCGACTTCCGACCAAATCAGAAACAGATTAACGAACCCTAATCCAATCGCGAAAAGTCTCCGATTATCTCTTCCTATCAATTTCCCTTCGACCAGAAGGGAGACCCTCTCTTTCGATCCGCTCCATTTTACTCTCTCGTGCTATCTCAACGTTGATCTCTATTCATTCTTCTGCGAGCGGAACCTCGAGGCGGATAAACTGGAACGAGCGCTATTTAGCCGGAGGTATTGATCGGTGTGTGAGGAATTTTCTGTGTCATGGGAGGAGATTGATTGGATGAGGTGTTCAGATTATGGTTTTAGTTTTGACCAGTTGTTTCATCTTTCCATTTGCCTCTCAATGTTGAAATCTTGGGTCTTTGTGTCTCGTCTAAGGTGATCAAATTGTTGATTCGTTGTGCGTGCCGAGTTGATAGATTAACTCGCACGTACTGAACATTCGTATTGTACATTTCGTTGGTGGGTCGTAGAGGATGGCCTAGTGGTAGTATAGTGGATGTCTATTGAATGAGTTGCTTTATGAACTCTGCAACTGAATCCTTTTGTGGGTTGTGAAGGACATAATCTTTTATGGATGGCAATAACTGGAGGCCTGCTGCTCCTGGCGGAGAAGCTCCCATGGATGGGGGTGACTGGAGAGCTACATTGCAGGTTGAGTCACGGCAAAGAATCGTGAACAAAATGTGAGTTGAATGTTTTTGTGCTCCTGAGTGGTTATTTCTGTTCTGTTCTATTCTAAACTATGCTCTGTGCGTTTCATGTGCTTATTTTTTTTTTCTTATAGTTTCTGAGATAACAGGATAAATTGGTATGACCAACGGGGGAAACATGGATGTAGTTTATTAGAGCTGCTCTATGAATGAAAGGAAGAAACTGAATTGTGTTTCTTTCAGAAAGTTTATGGGATTTAGGCGCATTGTGTGAATGGTACGGATGTCCTTGGACACAAAAAATGAATTTAAAAAAGGAAATGGATAAAGACTATGTATTGGATGTGAGAGGTGTTTGATAACAGCTTATGGATTTCTCAAGGCATATATATGTTTTAAGAATTTTTTTGTGGGGTTTTACCTCTTGATTATTTGTTTCCTTTTGTAAATACGTACTTTTGTTCTCGGTGGTCACTGATGGTGAATGTGACTAAATTATGGAACAGAATGGAGACATTAAGGAGGCATCTACCTCTTTCTGGTCAAGATGGGCAACACGAATTGAAGAAAATCGCTGTACGATTTGAGGAAAAGATTTATACTGCTGCAACTAGTCAGGTATTTCGATAAAGGCTAGTGATTCTTGTAACAAAATTTCATGAAGTCGCATGCTTTTAGGATAAGCAACTTTCCTGCCTATAACTGTACCTCGAAGATAAGATTGATGATGCACTAATTTTATGTTTTTCCTTTTCTTTGTGTAGTCTGATTATTTACGCAAGATATCTTTGAAGATGCTCACAATGGAGAACAAATCACAGAATTCTATACCCACTTCTTTGCCGCCTAGCTCAGCTGGCACTGGCAATAAGCCCCCTGATCCAGGAGGTACGGCAGAGTTCTTGTTCTTTTCTACTATAGTCGGAGATTATTAACTTGCATGGCCTTTTACTTCTAGTTAGTTGTTTTACTACGATGGGGAGAATGTTAATAACCATCTTCGACTTCTTATTATCTATGTCAAACTTTGGGGGAAATGGTATAAAGAGATATGTTTCTGCAAGCACTTTCTGGTTTATGCTAATTGCTGTTGTTCCTATTTCTCTTATTTTGTTTCTTGTTTATTTGTGTCTTGACAGCATCTCCTAGTTTGCAGCCCCAAGTTCACAACCAAGGGCAATCACTTCCCATTCCATTGCCAGGTAATCAAGCTCAAGGACGCCAACAGTTGTTAGCTCAGAACATGCAGAACAGTATGACTTCTACAGGAGTCCAAAGTTCTGCTGGTCTACCGTCTTCATTGCCTCCTGTTTCTGGTATAAACCAGACTCCAATCAATGTCGTTGGCCAGAATGGTAGCATGCAGAACATGTCTAATGTTGCACAAAACCAAGTTGGTTCTTCAATGGGGCAGGGGGTTCCCCCAAACATGTTTGGTAATCCTCAAAGACAGATGGCTGGGAGGCAACAGGTTATGGGCCAGCAGCAACAACAGCAGTCACAGAATCCTTATCTTTATCAGCAATCCTTCCAACATCAGATGCTTAAGAGAAATCAAGCACACCCGTCGGTACAAGCACAACATTCGCAACAACAGCAGCCTCAACAAAATGTTATGCAGCCAACTCAGCAATCTGGCATGCAAACATCATCTGTTATGCAGCCTTCATTGATGCAGTCAACTCCTATATCTAATCTTCCCCAGAATCAACTATCCTCCGCCCAACAGTCAGCACAATCCATCCTTCAGCAGCATCCACAATCTGTCACCAGGCAACAACAACTGCAACAACAGGGTGTTGGTATTCATCAACAGCAGACGCAGATGATGCAGCCGCAATTGCTGTCCACGCCGCAGCAGCCGCAGCTATTGCCAACCCAGCAGCAGCAACAACAACAGCAGCAGCAGCCAATGCAATCTCAGCAACAGCTGGTGGGGCAACAGGCTAATGCTGCAACCATGCAGCAGAATCAGTTTTCCGGGCAACAAAACAATATTGGGGACATGCAGCAGCAGCAGCAGAGATTGCTCAGCCAACAGACTAACCATCACAGTCTGCAGCAACAGCAGCAGCACCATTCGATGACTCAGCAGAATAACCTTTCTGGTATGCATCAGCAACAGCTGGGTAGTCAGAGTAATTTCTCTGGTCTACAGCAGCCAACACAGCAGCAACAGTTGCTTGGAGCTCAGTCTGGTAACTCAAGTATGCAGAACAATCAGCATGCTGTAAATATGCTGCAGCAGCAACCCAAGGTTCCTCTATTGCAACAAACACAACAAAATTCTCCTAATTTATTACCAACACAAGGCCAGCAGACACAATCACTAGCACCACAGCAGCAGCAGCAGCTTGGTCTGCAACAACAGCCTGGGCAGTTGCAGCAGCAGCTTGGTCTACAACAACAGTCTAATCCACTGCAAAGGGAAATGCAGCAAAGGATGCAAGCCTCTGGGAATGCACCAGGATCTTTGGTGCAACCTCAAAATGTGATTGATCAGCAGAAGCAGCTATATCAATCACAAAGAGTACTTCCTGAGACATCATCAAGTATATTTCTGAGTCTGTCCTCTAGGTGTAATCTCATTTGATAAAAATGGAGTTGCTTGGAGTTGTGCCAGGTAAGTTTATCCTTACTAATTTTTGTTTCGTTGTAGCATCTCAAGATTCTACGGCGCAAACTGCTCAGGCAAATGGAGTTGATTGGCAAGAGGAAGTCTATCAAAAGGTTGTTTATGCTGTTATATAGGCAGAGTTCTTTCGCCCATCTGTGTATTCCTCTGCATTCAAATGTTGACAACTTTGTACTGATTTTTCCTTTGTAGATCAAAACTATGAAGGAGATGTACTTACCCGAGTTAAATGAAATGTACCAGAAAATCGCTGCAAAGCTGCAGCAGGTAGCTTTTAACTTTTTACATCTGTTAACCAAATATTGTGTCTATTATTCACTGTTTGTTGAACAATATCTCAGTTGCATCATTTGTCTATAGCATCTATATAGCCTAAGCGAAGAGTGATGATTTGCAGTAGGCATTCTGCTCTTTGGTTTCAGTGTATTTGATGTGTTCATTGCCTTTGTTTAGAGTTCCTGCATTTAATGTAGATTTCTTGATTTCTTACTCATAATTCTGCATTTATTTTTTCATCGTTCTGCATTTAAAACTAAGGAATCCAGCTTTTGTGTACCTTATCTTCACTTCTGATAATTCTCCAAGGCTGATAAGTTGTTCTTTTCTCTCCAGCATGATTCTCTTCCACAGCAACCCAAGACAGACCAGCTTGAAAAGTTAAAGATGTTTAAGACTATGCTGGAGCGCATGATATCTTTCTTACAAGTATCAAAAAGCAATGTCTTGATCAGTTTCAAGGAGAAGCTTAGTTCCTACGAGAGACAGATAATAACTTTCTTAAACACAAATAGGCCCAGGAAACCTATGCCTCAAATGCAGCAAGGGCAACTTCCCTCTTCTCACATGCAATCGTTACAACAATCTTCGTCCCAAATCACTCAAGCACAATCCCATGAAAATCAAATGAATCCCATGACCTTACAAAGTTCTGTGTCAGCAATGCAGCAAAACAATAATATGGCAAGCATGCAGCAGAACAATAATATGGCAAGCATGCAGCATAGTTTATCTGGTGTTTCGTCGCCACAGCAGAACATGATGAACTCAATGCAGGCAGGTTCTAATCTTGATTCTGGACAGGGAAATGCTATGGCCTCATCGCAACAGGGTGCTATGGGGTCTCTACAACAGAATCCTAGTTCTTCCCAGCCCGCAAGTCTCAGCTCCGTGTCTTCACAAAGTGGGTTGACTATGTTGCAGCCAAACCTTCCTCTTCAGTCAAATTCGAACAATATGCTTCAGCACCAGCATCTGAAGCAGCAGCAGCCGCATGATCAACAGATATTACAGTCGCATCAATTTAAACAACATCAACAGCGTCAGATGCAGCAACAATTAATGCAAAAGCAGCATATGATTCAGCAGCAGCAGCATCAACATCAACAACAGCAGCATCAACATCAACAACAGCTGCAACAACAACATCAACAGCAGCAGCAGCAACAAAATCAGCAAGTAAAGCAGCAGCAACAAATATCACAGCTACATCAGATCAATGATGCAACTGACGTGAAAATTAGACAAGGTTTGGGAGTTAAACCAGGCGTGTTTCAGCAGCATCTCTCATCCAGTCAGCGTGGTGTTTACCCTCAGCAGATGAAGTCTGGCGCCACTTTTCCCATCTCTTCGCCTCAGCTGCTTCAAACTCCTTCGCCACAGTTACCACAACATTCTTCTCCACAGGTTGACCAGCAGAACCTACTGTCTTCGCTTCCAGGAACTGGAACTCCTCTACAGCCTGCAAATTCACCTTTTGTTGTCCCATCGCCTTCCACTCCTTTGGCTCCATCTCCTATGCCTGGAGATTCCGAGAAACCAGGGATTTCTTCCCTTTCGAATGCTGGTAATGTTGGACACCAACACCCATCATCTCTTGCGATTGGCACTCCTGGGATCTCTGCTTCACCATTGCTTGCAGAGTTCTCTGTTCCTGATGGGGCTCATGGCAATGCTTTGACAACTGTCTCTGGAAGGCCATCTGTTTCAGAGCAGCCACTTGACCGGTTAATTAAAGCGGTTAGTCATCTCTCCAATTTGTATCCTCCATTCTTTCATCTTCAACCAATTTTCAAAAGTGAAGGGTTTGTTTGGGTTGATGATTGGTGCAATGGGTAGATTGTTCCAAATAGACAGATTGTTAAATGGATTTATCTTAAAGTAGACAGATTGGAAGAATGTACTGTTTGGATGAATGTTTTAATCTACGTATGATGGGGTGGATTTGAGTAAATTCCAATTAAAATACCAAGTTGCCCTTATGGATCACTTTATAGAGCTCGACTGAGCCTGGGAATTTTCTAGAAAAGAAAGAGACAGGACGTTAATACTTACGAGTGGATACTGGAGTGCGTGTCTTCTGATTCTCCCCTTATCTGTTTCCTGAAATTTATGGTCCCAATAATTCACCCTTTTTTGGTAGATTTAGTGACAATTCACTACAATCATCAATCCAAACAAAACCTATTTAGTGCCTTGTACGCTTTTTGCCGAGCTTATTCCTTGTGAGTGGGAGTTACAATATACTTGTTGTATCAGGTGAAGTCTATTTCTCCCAAGGCATTGAATGCAGCTGTGAGCGACATTGGCTCGGTCGTCAGTATGATTGACAGAATTGCAGGATCAGCCCCTGGTAATGGATCTAGAGCAGCAGTAGGTGAGGATTTAGTGGCGATGACTAAATGCCGTCTTCAAGCAAGAAATGTCATCACTCAAGATGGTATTAGTGGGACGAGGAAAATGAAGAGATACACGAGTGCCATGCCTTTGAATGTCGCGTCGTCTGCCGGCGGCGTGAGCGACAGCAAGCAGTTGAGTGGACCAGAGACTTCTGATCTCGAGTCGACCGCAACATCTGGTGTCAAGAGGCCTAGGTTGGAGGTAAGCTTTCGGTATAAGCTCAGGTTGTTTAATACCACAACTCACAGAACTTGTTTTGGCACCAGCTACTCTTAAATGTTGGATTTCTTCATTCTTTCCGATGTCTAGCTACATTTACACAATGTTCTGTTTGATGACCTAGATTCTTACTATTCAATCCTAATTGGCTTGGTAAAAAAGATATCGATTCTCCACTCCCTCTAGTGAGATTATGAGACGAAAGAAAAAAACTGATAGCTTAATGCATGTAGGAGAAGAATAACTTTTATCTCACTTAGATTTGATTCCAATGCATCAATTCAATGCATGCACTAAAATATGGATGAATGGATTGTTGGAAATTACAGTTTATTATTTATATATATTACAATTTGATGCCTAAACTTCAATTTTTATGAAAAATATTCATTGAAATTTGCATTTTGTTACCTAAAATTCTTTATAATGGCATTTTAGTACCTAAACTTTTCAAAATTTTCATAATGGTCCAAGGGTTAGATGCCAGTTGGATCCATGAATTCAATCCTTGAATGTTGAATCCATTTAAACTAGTCCATGAATCCAATCACATGCTGATCCAATTGAGCAACAGGCTTCAAGCTATTATATGCTGATTGGTCATAATGCTCTCCTGCAGGCAAACCATGCGCTTTTGGAAGAGATAAGGGAGATAAATCAGGGACTTATTGACACTGTGGTTGATATCAGCGATGAAGATGTCAATCCAACTGCAGTAACTGCTGTTGCTGCTACTGAAGACGGTGGGGGAGGAACTTTAGTAAAGTGTTCATTCAGTGCGGTAGCCCTTAGCCCCAACTTGAAATCGCAGTATGACTCGGCTCAAATGGTCAGTGTTTCACAATCTTTGTTGACATCAAGCCTTTGCTATAAAACTGCCTACTCATTTTCCCTCCTTTTCACAGTCACCAATTCAGCCTCTCAGATTGCTTGTGCCTATGAACTATCCAAATTGCTCCCCAATTCTACTGGACAAGTTCCCTGTCGAAGTCAGGTAATAAATGAGGGTGGGTGTATTTGTTATTATCTTCTTGCACGTTGAGCCTTTTCCAGCTCGTTTTTACCTCATTACCTGTGTCGACCTTGATGTGCAGCAAGGAGTACGAGGATCTATCGGTGAAGGCCAAGTCGAGATTCGGCATTTCTCTTCGTAGCCTCTCGCAACCAATGTCTCTCGGGGACATCGCACATACTTGGGATGTATGTGCCAGGGCAGTGATCTCAGAGCACGCCCAGCAGAGCGGCGGAGGTAGCTTCAGTTCTAAGTATGGCACCTGGGAGAACTGCTTAAGCGCTGCTTAATACATGGGAGAACAAAAAACTACTGTAAATATTATGATGGCAGGAAGGCGTTCTTGCCGTGTCAATAAAATGATCTGATTAAAATGCAGCAATGATCGAAAGGACAATTACATTTTGATCTATTAAGTTATCCTCGTAATATATATCATAATTCCCTAGTTTATCACTTGTTTGCCCATATCTACTTTCCTCCCTGTTTTCTGCTGCGCTTCTTCCTCTTATCCTTCTATTTTCTTCTGCTCTTCCTTTTCCTCCACTGGTACTAGTACTGGGAACTCTTCGTTGTCGGCCTCTTTCTGGGCAATGTCAGCTTTCATCAGTTAAGTTTCAGCAGCCTTGATACCGGCGGTGCCAGTGCAATAACTGTTTCGAATGGTCTGTCTGCAACATTTAAAACCCCAACGATGATCCTCCACCTTCCACCATGAACCCCACACAGTCTTATGGTTGTTGATGTAGACATCTTCTTCGTACTTACTTCTGGGAAGCTGCACATCCGCGCATCCCTCGCGAACAACTCTCCCAGCACGATCGTACTCGACTTGCCTTTCACTCTGCCCCAGCAAAATCTCTCTCGGGATCCCATCTTGACTATTCGCAGCAGCATTCCCGTACTTCTCGAGCAATTCGTCCTTGGCTCGAGCCTCCAGTTCCTTTCTCTTCACCTGAAAGTTCCTGTACAACAACTCTGCTTGGGTAGGAGCAGCTTGCAGCAAGTGCTCCTCCTCCCCCCTCGACAAACGACTTTCGAGCTGCTTCAACTCCCCAGCTTCACCACTGTCTCTGTACCTGTTGTCCCCCCAATAGAACTTGTCATTCGGATCCACATCTGGAAGCGGATCCCCACGCATCGAACGGGTTTTCGGATCATAATGTGCAGATTTGGCACTGAGATTCAAGAGGTACTTGGCTTTATCTTCCCGAATTCGCAGGTTCCTAACAGTTCCTGTACTACCACCACCACCACCACTCCTCACCCTCTTCTCAACTTTACCAAAGCAGTCCATCTGCTCGGACTCATCAACTCTCAAGTCACTGCCTTCATTCCCTTCCACCACAAACACTTTCCTAGCTGCATCACGAGCCTCGTACCGCGCAACAACATCACGATTGTACCTCGCTGTATCATACCCGTTCCAACGGTCACGCTTGCTGGCGTAATTGTGCTCAATAGTCTCAACTTTCTCATCGGAGGCAATGTGCTTGTTAGTCCACCTGGCCCCTGATTTCCTAGGTCTCTCTACGCAGGCTTTGGCGTCGTGCGACATGGCTCCACAGTTCTCGCACGCTCCTTTCCTGTATTTCTCTGCCTGAAATACTTCAGCACCTCGATCGTACCACGCTGATTCGGTATTGTGAATCGGAGGAGCATCGGACGGATTCTTCCGTTTCCTTTGGTGCTTCAGACCTGGTAGTTTCTTCTCGGGGTTCAGATACCATGGCGCGGAAGCCATGTAGTGAGGGATGTGAGGATTGATCTCGTTCCCATCTTCGTCAACCTCGGGATGGACGAGCCCAGCTTTGCGGGCTTCTTCCAGTTCCTTCTGCTTCCTGTAATCCTCCCTGGATTTGATTGCCATGGCGCCGGCCGTCTGGTGGAAACGAGAATCCGGTCTTCCGATCGCCGGAGTTTGATTGCAGTGGCCACTCGGAAACCCTAAAGAAAAAAGGAAGGAATTCGCTATCGCCGGAAAGGACGACCGGAAACTATGTGTGAATCAACTTATCATACGGCAAAAATAGGTAGGGGGGAGGCAACCGTTTAAAAGCAGGAGTTTCTTTTTGCTCTAATTCGACAAGGATTCCTATTCCAATTCGGAAAAAACGAATGATTAAATAGTGAATTAGTTTTTCACAAAAAGAAAAAGTGTAGATGGCTCGGGTGGTTCGAGTTTGGTCATTTTAATCACCAAAGTTATATATCATGATTTTGAAAATGTTAAATTCAATCCAAAAAAAATTTAAAATTCTACAGTTTGTTTATGATTGAGTTAGATTGGATTGGAGATATTTTTAATGAAATATCCAACCCAACACAAAAATCACTACATTAGGATTTTAAACAAATAAATCGAGACAAAAAGTTTCAATATGCATAAATATTGTTTGATTTAAATGAAATGCAATTTACTTCATGTCTAGTTTGTTTCATACATATTTGTCAAAGTAAGCTAAATTAATTATAAGTTAACATATTCATAATATATTGTTCTTCTAATATTGTACACACAAGAAAAAAGATTACGTGACTTATAGCTTATATCAAATCTACGTCTTAATATTAAGTTGAAAAATGTATTAGACTAGAGAAACCACAAAAGAAAAATATGATAATATAGTTAATTTTCTCACATCTCACAAATGTGTTTATTTACAATACAAATATGTGTTGTATACGAACACTTATGACAATAGTTCAACACGGGTTGGGTCGGGTTCTACGGGTTGTGTTGCCCAAAATCCGGACCCAACCCAATAGAGGCGGGTTGTACAAAAGATAACCCTCATCCGACCTTAAACTTCAATTTTGACGATTAATACGGGTGGATCGGTTTGAAGGGGTGAGTCGATTTAGTTTTGTTCACCCCTACTACTTAGCATAACCCATACATTTTGGTATATATTGCTTATAGCAATATAACTTACTCTTTGTGTTAATTGTTTTAGAGTTGATCGATCGCCACGTAATTTGTATTGAGGTATGAAGGTCATTAATATGTTTTAGGGTTAATTATATTGCATGGTTGGTCACTGAGATTACAAAAAACGTTCATGTTTGATCACTGAAAATATTTAAATTCAGTCTTGGTCACTCAAATTAGTTAAATGATTCAAGTTTGGTCACTCTCCGTCTATTTCCATTAACTCCAGCTTACGTGGCAGTCAACTTTCACAGTTGACCGTTAAATACGTGACGTGGCAATTAAAAAATTATTGAAAATAAAAAATAAACTTTTATATTTTCCACCTCATTATTACATTCATTAAAAAATAAAAAACCTAAAAACAACCAAACCAAAAACAACCGACAAGCTGCCGGCGGCCATGTAATCGGAGACGAGAAGCTTCTCGTCTTTAGAGAAGTAGAAGGCTCTGAACGGAACCACATTGTCGTCTTTAGACGTTTTTGTCGATGCTATCGGATCTGATCGAAGCGAACGAGATCTCGAAATCGATCGATCACAACTCGTTCAGGAAGATTCTGGAAGCCAATTACCGGCCTCAGCTGCTGATGGTGGTCGCGATCCCGTTCTTCCAGCAGGTCACCGGAATCAACGTCATCGCCTTCTACGCTCCCCTGCTCTTCCGAACAATCGGAATGGGAGAGAGCGCTTCTCTGATGTCGGCCATCCTAACCGGCGTCGTCGGGATCGGGACGGCGTTCCTATCGATGGTGATCGTCGATAGAGTCGGGAGGATGCCTCTGTTTATGTTCGGCGGGGTGTTGATGTTCGTCTCGCAGGTGCTTGTGGGAGCGATTATAGCGGCGGAGCTGGTGGACCACGGCGGGATCGGGAAGGGGTACGCGGTGGCGGTGATAATTCTGATCAGTTTTTACGTCGCCGGGTTTGGAGTGTCGCGGGGGCCGTTGGGGTGGTTGGTGCCCAGCGAGATTTTCCCACTAGAGATTCCGTCGGCGGGGCAGAGCATTGTAGTAGCGGTGAGCTTCTTGTTTACGTTCGTGGTGGCGCAGACATTTTTGTCGATGCTATGCCACTTCAATCATTTAACTAATTCTGATGGTTTTTTAATGAATGTAATAATGAGGTGGAAAATATAAAAGTTTATTTTTATTTTTAATAATTTTTTAATTGCCACGTCACGTATTTAACGGTCAACTATGAAAGTTGACTGCCACGTAAGCTGGAGTTAACGGAAATAGACGGAGAGTGACCAAACTTGAATCATATAACTAATTTGAGTGACCAAGACTGGATTTAAATATTTTCAATGACCAAACATGAACGTTTTTTATGAGGTTTATGGAAAAAATATATATGCATGTATAATATTATCCGGGTTAATTGCATGGTTGGTCGCTGAGATTACAAAAAGCGTTCATGTTTGGTCACTCAAAATATTTAAATCCATTTGTGGTCCCTAACTTTACAAAAACCGTTCATTTATGGTCACTCTCCGTTAGTTGTCATCCAACGCCGTTAACGGCGTCCGTTAAGTGATGACATGGCTGACGGATTCGCCTAATCAGCACTTTTTAACCAGAAAATTGACTGACCCGACCCGCCACGTCATTTAAACCCTCCATGTCAGCTAAACCTCTAACCAAACCAGACTAGACCCTAACTAAAACAGACCCGACCCGACCCACCAATTAATCTACCCACCTTTGACTAAACCCTAATCGAAGACAAATCAATCCGCCTCCATCCCGCGCCGCCTTCCTCCCTTCCGTTTTTCTTCCTCTCCAACTCAGATCGCAAATTCGCAGGCGACGAAGGAGGAATGGAGTCCGCCACGCACCGTGGTTGACTCCTTTCTCAATACCCAGTTCAAACTCTCTTCCTATTTTCTTCTCCATCGCGCGCGCCTGACTTCCCCCTTTCTGAGCAGTCAACAAAACCCTAAATCGAAGCTTTGATTCTCCTCCGCTCTCCGACAATGAAACCCTAAAGGTGAGTTTCTGCCTTTTGTTTATTTGAGCCCTGTCTGGAAAGACTGAAAAGGAGAAAAGAATAGGGGGCAGAGGAAAGCATCGAGTGTGTGTTATGGCTTTTGGGTGTTCGCTTTTAGCTTTCTTTTATACTAAATTGCAGGCTGTTGTTGGTTTTCCAGGTCACCATTTCACCGAAGGAAGCATGGTGGGGCATGTGCGGGCTCCAAATGAAACTCAGCCTAACTATGGTAAGTCTCCCGTCGTTTTCGCCCTTGTCATTATGGTAGATGGCTGGTCTTGATGGTAGATGGCTGGTTTGGGTTGTCCTTTTCCACAGTTGGCATTTACTAGAGACGAGGACATCACTTTGGGTAGAATTGGAATAGAAAAATTCAGGGTTCTGTGGGAATGACGAAAATGCAGCCTTAGGGTTTGACTTATTGTCTTTTAATAGAAAATGGTGGGACAGGACTACCTACTTACTTGCTGCTCCATAACTACTTATTTCCTTTGAAATTAACTCCTTTCAATTGCTTTTTTTTTAACCAAACAGCTGCTTCCAGTGGAATGTTCACCTTTGCAGTTCATGTGTCCTATGAAATGAAAGGAGTTGGCGGCAAGCATTTCCTCAATGAAACCTCCACTATGTTTTGGGACTATGCGGACATTGATGAACTTTCAGTGCTCGACCTTCCTGGCATATATGCGGCGTGTGGTGGGAAGATTAAAGATCCGAAGTTCTTTTGGAAAGATCCTTGCAACGATGCAATGTCCGAGATTGTCAATGATGAAGATATTCTAAGCATGTCGATAGCGGCCACCAGCGAGGGAAGAGTCATCGAGTTGTATGCTTTCTCGGTTAATGATCTTGAAGAACGCTTGGATAGTGAAGTTGAAGAAATAGAGGCTGCCGGTTTGGGAAGAAAGGGGAAAAATGGTGCTGGAGATGATTTGTTAGGTGATTCTGACTATCACGAGGATGAAGACAGCGACTATTTGGAGGATTCAGAAGAAGATAGTTCAAGGGACAATGCACAATTTGCAGCAAATATCACTCAAGAGGTGGAAGCCGACATGGGTACCTTTGAAATGGATGATGAGCAGCCTGAACTACAAAGGGAAGGGCCTGACTATCCAGACTCTGATGATCGTAGGAGCATTGTAAGCTCAGACTCGGATGAAGGAGACCAATCTCATGAATTCCGGGTTGATCGAGACATGGAGACGCCTACCTTTGCTGCTTCCCAGAAGTTTAGCAGCTTTGGAGTCCTAAAAGATGCAATAAAACAACATGCTTTCGTCGAGAAGAGGCCAGTTCGCTTTAAAAAGAATGATGGACAGTGGCTGCAAGTAGTGTGCGATCCTCCATGTGATCGGTACATTTGGGCTTCGAAGATGAGCACCAAAGATTATGTCCAAATCAAGAAGTGCAAGGTTGAGCACTCACCAGATTGTAGGAAGACCTTCAAGGTCAAGTACGCAACTGCAAAGTTTCTCGGCTCCAAGTTAGGTAGGAAGATGGCATGCGATAGGAACATGAAAAGGGCCTTGCTGAAGCACATTGTGAAAGAAGACTACAAGGAAGACGTGAAGAACTCTAAGGCTTGGAGAATACGACATGCAGCAATTGAGGCGGTTTGTGGGAGTTTGAAGGATCAGTATAGGTCCTTGTATCATTATGCCGAAGAGTTGAGGAGGAGCAATCCCAACTCTATGGTTATCATTGAGCAGAGAGAACAATGCTTCAACTGGATGTATGTGTGTTTCGCGACATCCAAGGTGGGGTTCAAGGCTGGATGTAGACATGTGTTAATTGTCGATGGTTGCTTCTTGAAGCACGAGTATGGAGGGCAGCTACTATAAGTCGTTGGTGTGGATGCCAATGACCAATACTACCCAGTTGCATTTGCTCATGTTGGAGTGGAGAACAAGGAAAATTGGGAATGGTTCCTTAGTCATGTTAGGGACGACTTGAGTATAATGGACTCTCCTGGTTGGACTTTTATGTCAGACAAACAAAAGGTAAAAACTCTATTTAGTTGCTGATTTTTATTAAGTGATTCAGAATTTTATAAAGTTTAACGATTGGTGTTTGTTTGTTGTCTTCAGGGTCTCTTGCCAGCACTTGACGAAATGTTTCCAAACTGTGAGAAGAGACACTGTGCACGACACTTGTGGACAAACCTGAAGGGTGCTTGTGGAGGTGGCCAAGCTTTGAAGAACTTTTTTGGGACAGCAGCTAGGTCCACAACTGTAGCGGAGTTCAAACATAATATGCAAATGTTGTCCGATCTTAGTAAGCCAGCCTACGATTGGCTGATGAAGAAGCCCTTCTATCATTGGACCAGGTCTCATTTCCTAACTTACACCAGCTGTGATATTCTCAGGCCTCAGCAGCAATAATGTAGAGAGTTGGAACAACACTATATTGGAGGAAAGGGATTTGGGTCCGATTAGCATGTGGGAGGGGATTAGGAGGAACTTGATGCTCCTATACGCCCGTAGATTGGATAAAGAAGAGAGGATTATGTTGCAAATTGTTACACCAAGGAAACCGCAGCAGCCATATATGAGCATTCTATTTCGCCAACCAATGATAAGGACTATTGGCCACAGTCCGAGTTGGGAGATTGTGGCATACCTCCTGTTCAAAACTCGAAGAAGAGAGAAAGACCAAAGAAACAGAGGAGAAAGGGATTGGATGAAGAAGCAGAAGCAGAAGCCAAGAAGAAACAAAAGAAAGGTGGGAGAGAATCATCGAAACCGGAAGGGGAGCAATACAAGTGCAAAGTTTGTGGTGTACTAGGCCACAACAAAACTTTCCATGATCCAGTAAGGAAACAGAAGGCAGAAGAAAGGAAGAAAGAGAAGGCAGAAGCAAAAAAGAAGCAGCAACTTGAAAAGGGCCGAGCGAAACCGACTTGCTGCATTGAAGAAGCAACAAGAGAAAGCTGCAAAGGCTGCCACTTCTTCATCGTCTAGGCAGCCCCCACACGTGATTCAACTCATGCCAGATGTAAACGTTTATGACTTTCTTCATTTCCTCGACTTATTAAGAATTTCCAGCATACTAATGTGGGTTAATTTGCAAGGAAGTTCTCGAAGGCCATCATCAAGTCAAGGCTCTCAACTCTCACAGATTGCAAGCCAAGTGACTCAAGTAGAGCAGCTGTGAAGAGTATATTTAAGTCATGTAGTGGGTGGTTAGGTCATTGTGAATGGTTATTTTGAACTTTTAAGCCTCTAATGCTTCTTGTAAATCAATGTGGATTTGCCATTTTGTCATACAAGTCCACGGAGAAGGAACTTGTTAATTATGCATGGCTCTTTTGGACAACATAGCCGTTAGTGCACTAATTATGAATGAATCTTAGATGTGATCTGTTTATTTCGGACTTAACTGTCAAAATAGTGTAATGCAAAACAGTTAGGTATTGAAGTGTGGTTCTAAATCTGGATTTTCAAGTGATCAAATATGTCCTTGTCTAGTTACCAAAAATGGACCACACATGTTTTTGGAGTGACCAGATGTTGACCTTTACATGTTTTTGAGTGACCAGATGTGGACCTTTACATGTTTTTGAGTGACCAAATGTTGACCGTTACATATCTTTAAGTGACCAAATGTGGACCTTTACATGTTTTTGAGTGACCAATCGTACAACTAACATAAACTTTCAGATACAAAACGTGAATTTGATTTTTTTAGGGTTACAATCTACAATATAGAAACGATTACATCAGCAAGGTTGAGCAAATAGCTTCTTACATTCCCAATCCCATCCAGATGAAAGAAAAGACGAGCAATCACAATGAAGATGAACACTGGGCAGCCATTAGCTTTGGACCCTTGCCCATTTTGCTCTCTAGTTCCCGAATCCAACGATGAAAGTTCAGCACCACAAACTTCATATGCTCGTCAACTATTGGGTCATGCCATATGAAGAAATTACATGCCCCATCTATCTACAGATCCAAGCACAAAACAGAGAGGGATGAAGGAGAGGATGGTCGAATGGTATACAAATCAAAGTAGAAAAGTCAGAAATCTTACCCCATACTTGCTGCACCCGTAGAACCTCCTCCCTGGATTCGCCTCTGTCCAGATCGTCTTGAGATCTGATGCCAATCCACAACGACAGAAAGGTGCCGCCATTAGCAGAGGAGAAGGGGATGAGAAGAAAACAGAGTGAGATGTGAAGGTTTGAAGGTTTTGGGAAGATGATAGGATTCTTGCGGTCAGAAAGCCACATAAATAAGATAGATGGGTAGGTGGGTTGGGTCGGGTCTGGTTTGGTTAGGTTTAGCTGACATGGCGGGTTTAAATGACGTGGCGGGTCGGGTCAGTCAATTTTCGGGTTAAAAAGTGATGATTAGGAGAATCCGTCAGCCACGTCATCACTAAACGGACGTCGTTAACGGCGTTGGGCGGCAGCTAACGGAGAGTGACCATAAATGAACGGTTTTTGTAAAGTTAGGGACCACAAATGGATTTAAATATTTCGAGTGACCAAACATGAACGCTTTTTGTAATCTCAGTGACCAACCATGCAATTAACCCAATATTATCCATATCAAATTTTAATTTTATCTTATCCATTAGGTCGGATTCAGACAGATATTCACGATTGTGAATATTTTTCAATGAAAAATAATTTTTTAAAAATGTAATATTTTAGGAATGTACCCAACTACCCATCAAAAAGCGGGTGTAAAGCTCGTTTTGTAACATTCCGAACCTTTTTCCGAGCAAGATATTGTCCGCTTTGGGCCTCGACCCTCACGGTTTTTGACTTGGGGTACAATTTAAGGTGACTTCCCATAAGGTCACCCATCCTTGTTATACTCCACACTGAGCATGTTTAACTTCGGAGTTCTCACGAAAATGCGTCTTGTCGGTTAAGGTCGGTTTCTTACTTATGAACCATGGATCTCTCCCGTGCTTTGTCGATGTGGGATTTGCCTAAGGTGTTACATAGGAGTGGAGCTTCCGTTACCGGTTAGCGATTAACCGGCCGGTTAAACTGATAATCGACCGGTTATTCACAAACCAAAAATCCAAATAACCGAAATTCGGTCGATTTTCGGAGGCTAGACGAGATGGTTTTGGTCTTGGAGGTGCTTCGGTTAACTGAAAATCGAGATAACCAAAGCCTAAATCCCTATTTCGATCGGTGTTCGATAGGGGTCACTGGTTGTTCAGTTATCGGTTATAACCGAACTAACCGAAACTCCACCCCTAGTGTTACACGTTTTTTATAGTACCAAAAATGAAGTCCATGACATATTATTAAGTCGTTTGGAAGTTGTTATTGTTATAGTTGTGTTTGTTGAATACATGTATTGTGCACAATACAATGTTTGAAAGTGCCAAAGTGTTAAACAATGCATGCATTGTTTTATGTAGGTCCCACCAGCAATCACAAAAAATAATGCATTATACAATCTCAACTAAAAGTTGAGATTGTTGTGATGGTTGGTTTTAGATTTGTGTCAACTTTTTCTTTATATTTAGGCAAAATACACTATCATAGCCATAACTATTGACGCTGTGACAATAATAGCCACTTTTTGAAAAATAAACTAAAATAGCCACAAATCTAAAACAAGCTTGACAAATATAGCCATTTCAAGTTAAAAACTTTAACACTGTTAAAACAACATCAATATCATTAACGAATTGCTGATGTGGATGCCACCTTAGCTTCCACATAAACACCAACACACCATTTCATGGAATCTGGCCTCCATGTCAGATTTTAATTTCAGAATAAATAAAAAAATTATTTTCACTAATCCCATACTCTTTTTCCCATCAGTTCGCTCTCTCCGATAGCCGTCGTAGCTCACCATTCCTCTGTCGTCGCCGCCGATCTCTTTCCTTCTTTCACGAAGGTGAGTCTCCCACCTTCCTCTATCGGAATTTCACCTACCTTATCTCCGCTGCAACACCGTGTCACAAAATTTCTCTACCAAATCCAGACTCTGATTTTGCCCTTTGGATATTCCTAGAAATCAACTTGAGGGCCTTGCTTCAATCGGCACCCTCTCCGCTGGTTGAATCCCCTCGAGGCCGAGAAGCACCTCAAGCTGTCGTCGCAGCCCATCGCTTCCAAGAAGAACAAGTCCAAGAAGTAGGGTTTCTGCATCCGTCGCTTTGTACTAGAATTCTTTGCTTTGTACGCAACAATCATCGCCACCTGCTGAAATAGCACCACCAACACTTTTTCATCCTCAATCGCCATCGTCGTCATCATCGTCTTCTTTTACCCCTGAGGTGGAGATGAGAGTTGGGTAGGAGAGATGATGACCCGACCTGCAAAACAGGGGCAAGGCGGGCGGAGAATCAGAATCGTCATCCTCCCTGACTTCAAACGAAAGCCGAGATGGGAGGCAAATCTGGACATGAGCTATATTATTTGGGGGGTTTTGGATGGGCTAGAGAACTGGGTTTGAGTCTTCTTGATCGATTGAAGGATATGGTGGATAGGCGGATTAGAATTAGAACGAAGGGAGCGACGGTGGAGAAGATTAGGCGGATTACGGAAGAGGAAGGGTTTCAAATTTGGCAAATTATTGTTGGTTTTCTACGGTGAGGGTTGCGTGAGAGATAATGGAGTTATTTATTTATTTATTTATTTTGGTTCACGTTATTATAATAAGAAAAAGTATTATATAATAAAAATTATTTTCCATCTTGTATGGTTTTTTACCAAAAATGCCACATTAGCAAATATCGTTAGTACAATCAGCATTCTTTATAATTTCGTTAAAGTTATGGACGGAATGGCTATTTTAGTGTATTTTTTAAAAAGTGGCTATTATTGTCACAACATGAATAGTTATGGCTATGAGAATGTCTTTTGCCTTATATTTATATTCCCAATCGTTTTTGTCTTATTTTAAAAGTTGAGGGTAAATGTGACATTTTCCCATAAAAGTAACTTATGTAAATCAATACATAAAGTAGATGCATGCATTGTATTGTTAAAATGTATCTATTGTATCAATATATACATTTATATTATGGTGATTCATTACAATTCAACGATTTAACATTCGCAAATTCTAAACGAATAAACGGTGAAAACTCTGCAATAGAATTCTATTTTGCTTTGTTCAAATTTTGGGCTGATAGCCCTGCTAGGCCTTTCCCGCACAAAAATCCCGAGTTCACTCTCAGGGACGTCACTTCTCCTCTCTCTCTCTTCCCCGCTTCTTCTTCTCTCCTCCCGAGTGTTTCATTCAGACAGCTCGTAGCGATTCCGAGTTACTGCACGAAATTCATCCAAATCCAACACCGCCATGGCGTCTGGTCCTCGGACTGCTGAGCGCCTGTGTGACTCCGGAACCGACGAGCAGACCGTCGCGCTACGGAAGAAGCGGTTGCGCCGCGTCAGCTTCGCCGAGGTTGAGATCACTTCCGTCCACGTCTTTGAGCGCGACGATTACGGCGAGACTCCACCGACCGACGATGGCTCAACGAAGAACCAGACTCCCGAGCCGGAGAACGAGGTGCTAGGGTTTTTCAAGGAGCTTGCGGATGGCAACGACGATTTGGGAGAGTCTTCGTTCTATGGCGGCGATGGCGAAGAGGAAGATGTTGAGGATGCCAGTGCTCGGAAGTCGTTTCTGCAGCCGACGGAGTCTCCCGGGAGTAGCATTTTCGGTTCCGCTACTTCAAATGACGGTTCGTTTTGTTTTTTCAGCTTCTGTTTCAAGTTAGATTTTGTTTTTTCCCCTTATTCCCGTTTACCTGCTTGTGAATCTGCTGTAGTCTTCACTCTAGGAGATCTAGTCGAGCGTTCTCTAATCGCTAATGCTTGAAATGTTTTCTTTCCCATTTCAATTTTGGCAGTGGATAACTTTTTCGGTCCTGTATCGGCCGATTTCATTAGACCTGGACGCTTGTCAGATTCGGGTGATTCGACTGATAATAATCATGAAATCACGATGGACTCGACAGCATTTTCCATGCATTTCCGCAGTCTCGTTAGGTCGGAATCAGGGGATCTTAGTACTCCTACTAGAGTTGGACATGGCTTTGGAGAGAAAACCCCTTCCAGCTTAGCCACCCCTTCCAATCCGGGGAGTCTTATGAAACTTACAATGGCCAAGAAGCTGCCAGTTTTTACCGATACCGTGGATAAATCTAGTGGAGGTGGTGACACAAATGCCATGAGTCTTGTCGGTGAAGATGCTCCTAGCTATGATTACGGGAGGCTATCTCCTGATTTGGAGGCTATTTTAGGTAAAGGCAGCAAAGATTTGCAGTGTGGATCTGTAGCTGGTTATACCAGTCCGAATTTCTCTAAGAGGAATGAGACTCCGTTGCAGCCTGAGAATGGAAAGAGAGAGTTCGATCAAAATGATTGTGGAGATAAGGTGCTTGACGGAGTTGGTGCCCTTGATGTTTCAGCTGAGAGAGTAATCCTGGGTGATGGTGCTTCTGCAGCCATCCGTGGTGAGCAGAATAATGGTTTCCACTCACCAAGTAGAAATGAGGTATTGCCAGCTGATATCTCTATTCGTCAACCAATTCAAAGTCCCAATCATTTGACTGAAGAAAACACTCCGGATCAGCTAAACCAGGTCAGACCTATTGTCTATGGAACTTTTATGGTGGCTCATTTTTCCCAGACGTTTTGTTGTTTCTGTTTAGCCTGTTTTTATTGGCATATAGTTTTCAATTGGATACAAATAGTTATGTGTCAGGCTGTTTAATTCCCTTTCTCATTGATATATTCTCTCTCCAGATAGCTTCCTAAACTTGTTCAATTGTCACTGAATGATAGGGATTAGGGAGTGCATATTCCATATTTGTATGACTGGAACTCAATGCTTTAGCTGATCTCTTGTGGTGGCTTTTGTATAACATGGCTCAAATGACTTGAAAGATGGGTATTTCAGTTGCAGGGTGGAAAATGCTACGCTGGGGCTGTGAGCAGACTAAGTACATATGCCGATCTTCCTGATCCATCACCAAATAAAACTAGTAATGACCTTAAGTTGAGTTCTTTAATGCAGCTTGAATGTATAAAAACTTGTCAAGGGGGTACTCAAAAGGATCATTCTTCCGGAGATAGAAGAAGCAATATATATGCTGAAAGAACCGATGAGGATAGGCTTGGGTCCTTGTCAGCTGGGTTGGTACCCTCACTGTCAGTCAAACAGCAAAACATGTTTAATGAAAATGCTAAATCTGTTAGCACATTGTCATTATTTACTCCTTCACCAAAACAGCCAGGTGCTATTCTGGCTAATGAGTGTATAAAAAGTGCTGAAATCTTTGCATCTGTCCACAAAACTAGTTCTAGGTTGAAGGATAGTATCAAAGAGTCAAAATTCCTATTATCCCGGATAAATTCGTCTACACCTTCAATCTCAGTGTCCCCTCTCAACGGCGATCGCAAGAATGTTGATAATGCATGGACTGGTGTCCCTGTTGCTAACTTAGACAAACACTTTTCTGTTGCTGATACAATAGGCATTCGTGAGCAGGATGCTGGTTCCATGCAGAATGTTCCATCTGGATCCTTTAGATCTATTGTTAGTTCTGAGAATATGGAAAATGCCTCCTCTCTTGTTGGCAGTAAGGATTCTATACTCTACATGACCCCATCAAGAGTTCTTAAGGAAAATCCTGCCCAGACAATGCCGAAACCATCTGACTTCTCATCACCTAAGATCAAAGTACGTCATGGAAGTGATGCTACATCAATTACTGTGCATGAGAGGGTTTCTTCTCCTCCAACAAATAGTGCGGCTCAGAAGTATTTGCTGTATTCAGAAAAATCAGGTAGTCTACCAAGCCATTTGAAGCAGCAGCATGTTCAGCTCACCAATCTTGCTGCTGTTGAATTGGTGCAAGATGCAGATTTGAGAGGTGATGCTGCTAGTGATGCTCAGGCCAGTGGAATTACTGACAAACTGGAATCCTGGTTTACTGAAAGGAGGGAAAGCTTCAGCTCGCCTCTTGTGATTAATCGCTTGGATGAAGGAGGATATATAAACGAGCCATCAAGAATAAGGGTATAATATCTTTCTATCTTGAACTATCTATTAATGAGTTCACTACTGCATGTTGATGTCTAGTTGTTCAAATCACACCTCAGCTTGTGGATGCTGTTTACACTACCATTTATTGTTCTTTATTCGCATCTGATGATTGACTGATTAAGTTTAATGTTATAATGCAAAACTTAATTAGAGCCCTTGTAAAGAAGCATTGACTGAGAGTCAAACTTTGGAAGAAGAGAACATGATTTCGTCTCCACATGCCGAGGCTGTTGGTGGAAAAAATAGCAAAAGACAAATTGGGATGCAGAATTCCAATAGTCCAGATCCGGCACAAGAAGTTCAGAACGGTTCTGCACGGAAAAGAAAAGTTGAAGTAGTACAGGAAGATTCACCTATGAGTAGCAGAATTAAGTTGGATAGGATAGTCTCTCCATATTGCAACTCTGGTGGACTGCTGAGCAACAAAGGCAACACAGCCTTCCAGATTTCCTGCAGTCCAGTTATAGCAAGTGATGTAGGTGGCTCTTATATGTGTGAAACGAGAAATGTCGAACAACTGAAAGGTGCTACTGATAAGACTAGCATGGTTAGTAGTAGCCCTGACACCCATGTAACCAATTTAACTAATCCGGAGGCCAGGGTTTCATTTTCTAAAGGCTGTAATGGAGTAGAGATGATAGGAGGTGATACAACTATGAAGCACTCGAGGGATGTAAGTGTACTGTACCTACTTTCTGTTATTGTTCCTAACTGATTGAAATATTTTTAATGGAAGATGGAATATAACATCTGTAGGTTGAGGATTGGTTGGTATGTTTTGGACAAGATTGCTTATGTCGGCTAGGATGACAGAGACTGAACTATCAAGATAGTCATAATCTGGGTTAATGTTTCGTGTCCCACTTCTTATCCAATGTGCAGATTTCACTGGAACTTTCTACACTTATGAAAGACTTGCTTTCTCCTTCGGTTGATGCACTAAACATAAAATCGGTATTTATTATCCCAACTTCAGTCTTCTTTCGTTTACTGGACTTTAGAAGTATGCTAGGTTATGCGTCGTTTGCTTTGTTCATCAGTGCATTTTATAACTCTTATTGTGTTTTTCTGGAATTTGGAAGTAAACATATTGTGCTTTTGTAGATTGATATGCTGCAAGATATTTTGGATTATCTTCAGAAAGTTAAGATGCGTAAGATGTTTTTGTCGCAAATTCAACAGGTCTGCTCTTTAAGTAATTAGATTTTGTGGATTCCTTTTACGTACTTATCTTCTGGTGTGAAGTTGAGTCAGCATATTCTTTTATGTTGGGAGAAAATCTTGAATCTAACTACTTTGCTTTGCATGCCATCTTGTTGCACCTTCTGCAGAAAAATTGTGATCAGGCGAGCAAAAAAGTGCTTGAGAGGTAGCCAAAACACTTACAAACTTTATGTCATTATGTTTTTGATTTATGCATCTTGGGCTTTGCCTTGTGGTCGGATAATTGTTGTGTTCTGATGTTTCAGGACAGCTGAAATGAGAAATTTGATTTGCAAATTAGTCTTTGAAAGGGCGAGAGTGCAACTAATGGCTGTGAAGCGACATAAATTTCTGGTTTCTAAGTCTCCTCTTCTTGGTTTTCTGTTTTTCGATTTTGTGCTTTGCTATTTTTCAGACATATTTGCCTTACTTATGACAGAAAAAAAGACAAATGCTGAGCATTGCAGTTCAAGAGTCCCAGATGCTTAAATCAGCTGAAGTTTTGTGCCTGCCGTTGCCTAGTATACACAGCAAAGACAAGGTGAATAAATCAGTGCTAAGAATAATTAGTGGACAGCTACATTCTCATGTGCTCATGTATCCGTGCCTTATATTAGTCTGCTACCATTTTCATCGTGTGGCAGAACAAGCTTCTTGAGGGTTTTAATTAAACTTTTCATTTCATAATGATTTATTTAATTATTGCATACCAGGTATCCAGTGAGAAGTTGGTTGGATTAAGGCATGAATTTGAAGCTATAGAGGGAAAGCTGAATACTTTAACTGAGCATTTCCGTACTGAGTACAAAATCGGAACAGAAGCTACTTGTCCTATGATGATAGGAATGGTTAATGATCAGCTGAAGAAAAGAATCTGTTATAGACGCATATATGAAGGGATCCAGGTATCTTCATCGGGAGTGAATTTGGCTTACTACAGGAAAATACATGTTACATTGCTGAAAATATTGTTCCACATTTCTTCAGTTGTATAAAGTTCAAGATTTGGAGAACAAGAATGGCATCCTCAGCATTGTTCTCAACTACCTAGATTTGTTCTCCCAAAGGTTTATTGCTTGTTCTCTATATCTTTCAATGCACCTTTGTGAAGAGAAGGAACATTCTAGGTATTCCACAAACTGTGTTAAATTGTTGCCTCAATGACAATATGCAGACTCACCATAACTGCTGCTAGGACTCCCAGCTTATTGCTCTCAACCAAGTTGAATGAGGCAAAAATCAGGAAGGTAACCTTCTTGAGCGTTAATTTTATGTCAGATAGCTTTTCTTTGCTCGGATAATTCTTGATTTGTTGCCCTTCCTGTTATCAGAAATTCCCTAACATGGATGCTTGTGCTGCATTTGCTTACATTCTAAATGCTGAGGCCACTACGAAATATGTTGGCTCCAGAAGTTTGGCACAGGAAACTAGAGTATGTTCTGTTATTTTTATTATCTACCATACTTATTTAATTGTAAATCAGTACTTAACACATCACAGGCCTGGTTGAGTAAAATAATCATAGTTCTTGGTCTTGATTTGCATGCTCTAATATCTCATGTCTTGTGAGTTTTAGTATTCTCAAATCCAGTATTCATTAACTACTGTTAGTTATAACATTTAGCATTGGTTTCGTCTACAGATGGCCAGTTCAATCTTGCACAATCTTCTGGATGTTGTTAAAGAAATGCAAAAGGCAATGATAGAGTCCATAAATCTTGTTGGTGCAACATTTTCTTCTGCTTCTGGTACTAGTCTTCTCTCTTTTACTTATTCTTTATAGCCCTCTATTGTTATATTCTTGTTCTGCTTTGGTAATTGATATATGATTTTTGTTGACCATTTGTTCCAAACATTAGGAAAATGCTTCTGCAGTTCTGTTTTTTTTATTTCCATCTACTTTTAACTACAAAGATATCAAGATTGGTGTAATTGATAATACAAAAGATGGCATATCGTATATCTTCAGAGAATAGAAAGCAGCATCGCATTATTGAAATTACTCCTTCATGTTGAAGTCTCTTGATGATTGGTGTACGAAAGTGCAACTGCTCTTATGGATAGAATTGCTGTTACATCTTGTGTCAAAGGACCACCTAAAAGTGCATCCTTGATATTAGGGGAAAGCTTCCGGAAAAAGAATGATTCCTATTTTTATTTATTGAAAAGATGATTCATTCCAATTGCAATGCCCCGGTGGTCGGGTGTCTGAAATTGTCTCAAATGGCAATCAAAATAGGCAGGCGAAGAGTCAAGCTGGTCAAAACTGTGCATATGCACTAGAAACCTTGAAATTTGTTAATTTTTTGAATTCAAGGGCTCCATGACTGACCAACTGTGAATCCATTTTTTGCAGTTGAGCGGCTGGATCTGCAACTTTCTTTTGTTAACGTCAACAGCTATGCAAAGATGAATCTGATGCTTGACATGACTTGTTTGAAACAGTAAGTTACATTCTCGCAGCTTTTAAATTGTTAGCTTGCTCAAAGCTATTTGTATATTGGAGCGAAATCAGTTACATCTTTCCTAGTCTAGTGGCTGCTGATCGTGATGCTTAAGTTGGTCCAACGAAAGGTGCCTTTCAGTACAGTAATTTATGACTTCTTTTACCCAAAATTAGTGGAAGTTTGTGCTAATGCCCTTTGCCATTGACCATAGTCCCCAGTGTTAGCCCTTGTTGTTTTAAGTACATAATAGAACTCACCTGAACAAAGTATAATATGTTTTGATTTTGATCAAATTGAACTTCTTTGGTTTTGATTCAGTCGTTAAACTAAAGAAATGAATCAATCAAGTTGTGAGAACAATGTACTAAAACTCGAATCAGGCAAGCTTTTGATCCAAGTGTGGTCCTCATGTTTCCTTTGTTTTTTATGGGTCTTCATACTGAATTCGGTATGATTCTAGACTAGACCTTACCATATCTACCACTAATCATTAATGTACAACAACTTACCTTGGTCAGTGTACAACGACTTAATTGTTGCATTTCTAAGAAACATGATTACATGCTGCATGTGAACTTATCATGATCCAAATCCTTTCTTTAAAATGGCATCCTCTAACAAGAACTTTGTTTCTGAAACAGTGGGGTTTATCCTTCAGACATCATCCCATACAGAATACAAGTTTCCGGGACAAAGAAGACCGATCTAGAGTTGCTCTCAGCTCAAGCCAAAGCTGCTGTCGATAACCTTAGAGTTGGTTATTTCCGGATATTAGGGCTCTGCAGGTGTATTTCACAGGTGATGAGCAGTGACAGAAGCGGAACCGACTAAAACTGCAACCTTCTGTTAAAAAAGAAAATGCTCCCTTCCCTTTCATTAGGGTCATTTCATTATCCACCCGTGAACATCTTATCTTTGCATCCCCTTGATGCTCTATGATAGAACATCATTTTCTGTTTTCTTCAGGCAGTAACTTTTGAGTGGCCCAGTTTGTTAATATGGTTGTCGATGGGGTCAGTGTCTGTCTCCAGAGACCTGTGTAGTAAAAAAAAAAGTGCCCCTGGATGGACTTATGGTCCTGTCTATTTTTATGCTACTAAGAAAGTGGAGCAGTATTGTTACTGTTATTTGTGGTGGATCATTATGCTCATGGCTTTCTCTCACTGGCCACTCAACTACTGGCGGGGTTGTTATCGTTAATTGGAGGGAACATTATCTGTCTCTACTGTTCCTGTATAATTGCTTGTGTCTGTGTTTAGGTTTTTTCTCAAACAGGGCGAAGATTGGCATTGGGTTGTGGTCAGCTCGCCATCTCAGTAATCATTATCTCGAACCAACACATTTCCAAGCATTTGATGCGGAGGACAATCAATGGACCCGATCTCCCATTTGATTCCAGCCGGTGCTTGAGATGGGAACAAAAAACTGAAAAGCGGGTGCGTATTGCTAAAATCTCTTCTGTCTGCTCTCTTTTGAGCAATTTTTTTGTCAAAGCATTTTGGAATATATTTCTATTATTGTATTCTGATTATTCAGTTATGTTATATCCGGTTATCATTAGGATATTGTTCCGTTTAGTTAGTGTCGTTATGTACATACTTCGAGTTAGTATGTTCTCGTATCTAACATGTTTTGTATGTCGAGAATTCATTTTACAATCTTGATTTAACTTTTAAGTTAAATAGATCTTCAGTTTTGTAGCATATGTGACATGTGAGTGATTAATATTGTGTTTTCTAAATATTAGCCAAGCTAGTTGATACAGTTTTGGATGGAAATTTTAACCAAGATACCTACAAAATCATAAATGAAACCGCAGGACTAATTTGTTAAAATTGAATCTACAGGTGGCATTTTGCATCAGCAACCCCATGTTCCTGGGTGCCCTTGAAACGGAGGAAGCTCCTGGAACCCAGAAACCCCCTAAACTCAGGGAGCGTCTGAGAGCGCATTGTAATCAGTATCACATCAAGGTCCCTTATCTCTGCATATGGACACCTGTACCAAAACATCACATGGATTTCTGAGGGCACTAAACGCCAACTTCAGCAGCAATTATGACACTTTTGACAGGTCCCATTTCCGAATTCCGGGTAAGTTTTCCTGACCATTTTTCGATCATCCGTCTACTTGAAAGATTCAGAAGATCTGCTAGGAATGGTGAATTGTTGAGTACAAAACAGTGGCGTAGCTAGGATTTTACATAAGGGTGTTCCAATTTTTTTAAAATAAATTAATTTATATGAGAAATTATTAATTTTTGTAATGACTCACAATATTTTTTATTCTAATAAAACTTGTAAATTATATACTCTTCATCTAAACTATCAAAGACCTTATTGTCAATATATCCTACCGACTAATGATTCATAATTTTGTTAATCATTCCAATCCATGGCAGGTTATGGTAAAGCCGCTCTACTGCTCATGGATAGCCGATAAAAGTTGTTTGAATGGGATGGTAGAGTCGAGCTACTTAGCGACCATGTTTGAGAGGAAAAATTTTAAATGGAATTGAAAAGGGAAACATATATAGTTAAATACTACCACAATAAGTTGATTTAGTGATATTATGACGATAAGAATCACCAAATTAACAATTATCTAAAAAATTATAGATTCCAATTGTATGTGATTTTTATTATCTAACTTGATTTATGTTTGAAGATAAGTTAAATGTATATTATTAATTATAGTTTGATGATAGAAATACTAAATACTATAAATATTGTTCCATCTTCCACGTACAAGATTTCATCAAAACAATCTAATATACCCCTTTCCCCCAAAGCAAGGGTGTGCCAGGGCACCTCCTCTTTACATGCTGCCTCCGCCCCTGGTACAAAACATGCTACATGTGGGTTGATCTTTTGTTGCTGTCCTCACTTTATTTCCCTACCCCTTTTCGGGGTGTAGCCGTAGCCGTAGCCCGTAGGAAAAGGTTGAAGATCTAAGTTCGTTGACCAATTATCCTACTAATCGAGTGGTTGAGTGAGAATTATTTGAATCGATTTCATAACTGATTCATGTTGGATCCAAATATTATTTGATTTGGGTTTCATTCTTTTGATTTAAATATTTTTTAGTTTTTAGCCGGATTGGTGCTTTTGATTCATTTTGAGTTCTTATCTCTCAATTATTTTCAATCCTGTCCTTGTATTGATGTGGTCCTTCTATGGACCATATCAGACCGTGCACCCCTTAGTCTAAGCCCGCATTGAATTACAGCTATGTAGCATGGTTATAAGTGGGTGTTGCATTTGTCCTGTCACGTACCAACTGGATGGATTGCTATGAAGTTGCCGTCCCACGAAAAGTTTCTTCTTTATGGTCTTTTTGGGCTAGTTGATAGGTAACTGGGATTGGACTTGATAAAGATTTCAGCCTTTTGCCTTGTTGGTCTGAAATGCCGATGTGTAACTAAACCATTTTTTGGCCTCGTGTCGTTTGTTGAAACTATAGCCTTGGGATTTCTGTAGTTATAATCCTATATCTTTGAGTCTCCCGTACATAGTCAGGATCATACTTGGTTGTTGCTCTGTCTGGTTTGGTTAAATAATAATGTCCTTCACAGGATTAATCTAAGTTCTTAGAGAAGGAAAAGATGAAATGTCTATTGGCATTCATGATGTTAGGATATTGTACAAGGACGTGTTGATCATCTGCAAATCTTTTGATAAGAGATGTGCGATCTTCTGAGTCTAATCTTGTTGATAGTTTGTTTTCCATTTTGAACTTTGCCAAGAACTCGCAATGCTTTAAGTGGGTGGAAAATCTATGAATTTTGATACGAGAGCGAACGTCGGTGACATCAATTGGATCACACCTATAGCAATCTCAATTGTTTTACTATCCTTGATAAGATCATATTTAAAATTATCATCGTTCGTAAGTTGACTAGGGCACGATATAGTCTGGAAGTGTAGCATTTTGAGGTGTTGCTTAGGATCTTTTGAATTCTGTTGTTCCTGTAGTGTTCCCCATTTTTAAAGGAGGTCGAGAGCATTCATTAGATTTGTCTTCATATACCAACTGTTTTGAAAACCTAGTTTCTTCAAACCCAGCAAAGTAATAATTGGCCCCTTCTTTTTGATCATTAAGCTTTTCCTTAACCACATTTTCCTCACCTTAAGTAGACTTCCCAATTAAATAAACCCTCCTTGTACTATGTTTCTTCAAAGCATCATATTCTTCTTCTTCCCCTTCTTTATTGAAACAAGATATCATATTCTTCTTCCTTCCTGAATTCTGCTTCAAAGCTAAGCTGAATCACCCTTATTAATGTGTCAGCCTCCACGCTTTTACGTTTAGATATCTCAATAAAATATCAGGCTTGGGTGGTGTTTGGTTTTGGAGTGGAACTGTTTAGTACTAGAATGATGATGTTGAGTGGAAATGAACTAATTAAAGAGTGGGGCCCCTTTGCGGGGGAGCTCGAGCTGTCAATCATTAATTCATAAGAGCCAGTGTGAGAGTGGGGCGGTCTTAATTAAGTATTTTTCATTTTATTATAAAGGGGATGTTTCTCAAATGGATAAAACTCATACAAAAATCGATGATAATTAAGAAAATGCTTGTAAGACTTTTGTTAGATATTTTATTAGCACTTTTTCAATTTGGTGGGGTTGGGATCTTCACATGTCCTTTCTCTATCTTCAAGTTGGCTGTCCATTTTTTTCTTTGGTAGAAAGTGAGCTGTGCTTTTACTTTGACACACGGATGGTTAGAATTTTAGTTACAGTCTGGGAACTTAATAAGAATTTTGAAATTTTACAACAATGTATGTTGATTTTTATAGTTAAATGCTACTGAAGTTATTCGAAGCTGGATAGGTTGAAGACTGATGGTATTATCACCATACCAAATCGTACTGGTTGATTTGATCAAGGGTTTGAAGTTTTTCTTACTGCTTAGTACCTTATCTGAATCTGCACTTGCTGTTGCTGGTCACTTCCCTGTGGGTTAGGGGATTCCATACTTTCGCCCACTAGTGCCCTCCTTTTGCCATGTTGTCTCCTTTCTATGTTCCACTAATATTCCACGAATGCTTATCTTGACCTGTGACTGTGAGTGGTGGGAAGTTTCTTCTACCCATTCTATCTCTGGAGAGTTTGATAGGAAATGCCCTTCTTGTAGTGCTTATATACTCCTTACTCTTTTGGTTCCACCGAACTTAAAGGTTCCATTTACTAGTCCTTTTCTTTTGGTTCAATTAAGCAAAAGGTGAAATTTAGGGAGATGGTAAATTTAGCTGTGGGAACCAAAATGGGTTCTACCCTAGTCATGCCAGAATAGTGTAGCGATCTCATAATGTTTTTTTTTTTGCCATAGTTATCCCGAGGGGAAGCAACACAAATACGACAAAATACAAGGTCTCCTAAGACCAGGCTAGGAAAATTAAATAAATAAAACACGATGGTCGACAAGAGTCTGGACCATCGCTCCAAGGACTTGTCTTGCCACGGTATGGGCAGCCCTATTATACCTACGAGGAGCGAAATGGAACGACTTTCGGGCCTTCTTGTTACCATCACACCCGGTTAAGGCTTTCCACCCTAGCGATCTCATAATGTTGGGGTTGAGTTTTCATTAATTCAATTATTGATTTTTTCATTATATGTATTTTGGTATGCCCCACACAATTTAGTATGTGAGAACGTGCTTATAGCACTCGGTGGCTATCACATACCGCGCTGACATCCCATGGTCGTTGGATGGATGTGATGAAATTACGAAAATGACAATGCATCCGTCCGACAGTTGTAGGGTGCTTGCGCGCTGTTGGACGATCACAAGCATTGTGAGCACGTGTTCACAGGCACTTTGTGAGCATCATAACGGGTGAACTTCAAATTTTACTATGGTGCTCACAAGATGCAACATTTGTAAAAGAACACACTTGACCATGGAAATTAACCAATCACTTCACTTCTTATCCCAGAAAAATGTTTTGAGAAAAATCACTTCACTTTTTCTCTATGTGCAAATGTGCCCCTAGACTTCCACTCCAATACAAATGGGATGTCAATTACCCTTGAAGTGAATTAAGATTTGTTAAAATTCATCATACCTATTATTCTTTTGTCCTCTTCTCTAGTGTACTAGATGGATGCAAAATTTTCAACTTTGGTCCTATGTGTAAAACTCAATTATTGTTCTTAGCTATTTCAGGGAACATAGAATTTCTAAACTCTGATATTTCCGCCATTAGAATTGAATATTATGTTCAAAGTGTGATAGGTTTGAATGGGCAATAAGTCTAGTTGATCTAGCCACCGGCCTTTGATTATTTTCTTTGAAATGGTTTCGAATACAAGTTTAAAGGAAAAGGCTTTACCTTAAAAAAAAAAAAAAGTCCTCCGGTGAGGTTGGTATCACCCGATTCGTAGTAACGTAGGTAAGGGTTAGTGTGTACTATTGTGCAATGTTTTGTCCCATTCTATCTCGATTTGTCTTAGTATCTATTTTTATTTCTCCTATTTTAACTTTTGTTAATTCATATTTTCACATAATAATACTTCAGGTAAGTCTAAGACTTCATCTTTCAGTTAATCAGATTCTATTAATATACATGTTATCTCTATTTTCATTTATAAACGAATTTTTCTTTGTTTTATCATTAGAAAATAAGTATATTTTGAATAATATATAAGAAACGATTAGCATATTTAAATGCATCCACATGGATATTACTTGGCAAGACCTGCTCTTAATGCAAGACAAATATGAATGTTGAGATATTCGTTTAGACGCGCAATTTCCATCATTGATCCAATTGCCTTACGCCCTTACCCATCCAAGTAATCATAGAAGGGGAGTTTGTGTGTCTCTACTCTCTACTTGTTCCGAGGGACTGATAGAATAGAATAGAATAGAATACTAAATTAGTACACACAACAAATTTGTTTCATTTCATTGGTTGCTAATTACCTAAATAAACAAATAAATTTGGTATTTTCTTCTTTGAAGGGCCGCCAAAGGTTCAGTTTCTTTCTTCTCTCTTCCTTCGGAAAAGCCAACGCCACGCCACCACTATAACGACCAAAATATCTATTATGTTCACCCACCCAAAATATCTTGTAGAGAGAGAGAGAGAGTCTAGCAGCCAAAAGATCTTGACAATATATCTTCCATTCCCATGTCCATGTGCATGTGCTATAGGATCAAGTTTCTTTGATTGCCTTTCATTCGCTCTTTTGCCTTGGGAGTATGTTTGAACTTTGAACTATATCGTATTTGACCTATTTGTTTATTTTGTGAAGGGTATGTCATCAACACTAATTTCTATAACATATTCATGTAATAGTATGTCCTGATATAAAAATAGTGTTCCGGTGTGGTATCTTAACAACTTTAGTGTTTTATTAGCAAGAAAAAAGGGTGTGTCATAAGCTCTAGCAATATACAAGATGGTATTTGGCTAGTTATTTGAATGAGGGAATCAGAATGAGATATCTGGATTTCACGGGTTATAATGTAGCATTTTGTGCTTGAAAAGGTAACATCATAATGTTTGAAAAATACAAAATGATAGAGTGATGACTTGTCAAATGTTGTGTTTTGATCTCGACGTTTTTCAATTATTAAGTTTTTTTTACCCTGATTGTCATATTTTTTGAACAACTCATTCAAATAATTGTGATGCTCTTGAATATATTGATTAATAGTTGCGACAGCTTAAATATACGCCTAAGAGGCAACAACACGCTTATAAAAGATTTATAAAAAATTTAGTGCTCTTAATTGGTTTGTGTGGGTTGCTTTTCTCTTCTCGTTCTGTATAGATATAACTTGAATTATACATAATCACGCTTTCAGATTATGTGACAAATTTGATTAGTTTAATGTATATTGCAAAAATGACGCCAATTCTTCAAGTCTTGGATTTTGATGCACGGAAGCTTAGCTTGCTTCTCGTTATTAGTTGTGTGGCAATGAAATAATAATAAATAAAAATATATAATTGTTTCAAGTCGTAATAGGCACCGATTTCTTATCGTGAGCCCATCTAACTTCAATTAATTCATAAAAATGGTGCTGAGCTGGAAAGGGCGGCAGTGGAAAGAAAAAGGAAGTGGGGAAATTATATTGGAGAAGAAAGTAGAATAGGCAGCAAGAAAGGGTGCCACGTTGAAATGTTGGCCGACGGTAATGAAGCAAAAGAAACTGCCAACTTCGCCCTTTCCTTCTTGTTTTGGGCTAACCTAATAACATGGTGTTTGTTTCCCGTTCTTTTCTTCTGCCTACTATTGTACTGAAGACCTAACTCTTATGTATATCAAGATACAGGGGCGAAGCCAGGAATTCGAGTCCGGGGGGCCAAAAATTTTTTCAAACAAAATAATACTATAAGAAAATATCACATCACTCAAAATACTACTTATACGGAAAGGGTCGATTACATCTCGTTCAATATAAATAACAAGACCACCGACAAGAAAATCATCACTCATTTGTTGCGTAGTTTAGTCACTAATTGCATGACAGAAAAAGCCCGTTCACCAGTAACAGTAGAGACTAGAAGAGTCAAAACAAAACTAATAATCTAACGGGTAACACTTTCTTACAAGATCGCATAGCACAATACATACATACTAGGTTAGTTGATAATCCAATAATTAAATACAAAAAAATAAAGCATTTGTATAAATTTCGTCTAAAGTGGAACTAAAGCCAAAAACTGAAATAACCGATATTGAAATGTGTACCTATATTGAGGTTCTTGTTTAATAAGAGGATAGAAGGTAGAAAATGTTTATGAAGAGTAAAAATAAAAACTAGGCTCTAATAGTACTCGAACTGCCAACCTCCAAAATAGAATCAGCAACTTTCACCACTACACTATACTGAGATTAATGTCATGCTTCTACCACTACATAGTATTATTTGCTTTCTAGAAATTCCCGGGGGGGGGGGGGGGGGGGGGGGGCATACCCCCCGGCCGCTGCACTGGCTCCGCCCCTGTCAAGATATAAGTACAACCTATGACAATTTCGATCCGATCCGTTTTACTCAATTTGTTTGAACTATTTTGTCGTTGGTCTGACCCGTCTTGTAGGCGGGATGGAGCGAGTATGGGTGCTCTCATCGACCTGACCTGTCATGACCTGCCTTATTCTCGACCCGTTCTCATCTAAATTATATGTAATGTTAGTTAAATTAATTAAGATTTTTCTTTTATTACCTCAAATTTTAGCTATCATAAAATTGTATATAAGTGAAAATATCGATTTCTTTAATAATTTAACTACATTTATTATATTATGGTTTGTTTCTTGGTCTTCTAATGAAAACAATAAATATTTCTAATGTTTTTCATATAAATTACATACACATTGGATCGACCTATCTCGACCTTCGTCCCATAATAAATTACTTGATCTGAACTCGACCTCTCTCATTGCCATTCAACCAGTTCATTTCGGACTAAGACTAGTTTGGTAACCGAAAAATTTAGTACCGGTACATACATGGAAAAGTGATTCCAACTCTAGAATATGCCCCATAAAAAAAAAACTCTAGAATATGCCATTTTCAAAGTGTTTTTATTTTTTATTTACAATTATTGTTTGACTTGAGGAATTATAGGTTAAGTTTTTGAAAGCATCTCCTTTTTGGGGAAGTAAAAATGGCAAGTTTTAATAGCACATAATTGTGTATTGTACATGAATTTCTTGTAAAACATCAAGCAAAGGAGGAGTGTGTTAAGAAATTAGGGTTCTTGAAGATTCACCAAGAAACATATGAATGGGTTTGTTTTAGATTTTCTTATAATACCATATACAAATACTTTTTTTGAATTATAGTACTATAAAAAAAATCGGAAGCGTAGAAAAGAGTAGGTTTTACTCGTATGTATGAACTGGTTTTTATATGATTAAATACGAGACATTTCTTATCAATAATAAGAAATAATAGTATGATTCGTAGTTTTTAACAGCAAATAAACAATTATTATGATGATATGATTAATAATTTTTGGATATCGATTTAAAGAAGCGGAAAACGATTTCGATCATAACGGCCAAAATTTGTTATCACATCCTAGAATTTGCTTCATACTAATATGAGAACGATGATACCTTTATTTGACTAATAACAAATGTTTAAATGGTTACATAGTAAGTTAGTAACATTACTTAATAAGTTCTTGTCTATGATTACTATGTGTTTAATAGTTATGCACTTGTGCTTATCGCTTAATGCAAGCGGATGTGGAAAGAGGGGAAGGGCAGAACCGGAAAGAAAAATATGCACAAAAGGTGCCAGGTGGGACCGACAGTGGAGCCCACAAAGGTTGCCCTTTTGGCCTTTGTCTTTCTCTAACAATTGCGCTTTTTATCGGCCTGATGTCACGTTTTCTCAAATACGTACCTCCTCACCCACCCACGCACTGCCTATCCATCCCCTTCCCCTTCTCTCTTTTCTTCATTTTCCTCCCATTCCAATTTTTTTTTTCACACAGAGGAACACCAGAGCAGCAGCAGAGAGGCGAACCAGAGAGAGAAAAGAGAAGAGTCAGAGAGCTCAAAGCTTTCTTCTTTTTACCCTTCGAGGGTTTTCTTCACCTTTCCTCCCCTTGCCCTTTACAGAGATTGATTGAAGTATTATTCAAATATATCATTTCTGGCTTCGACTGCTTTTGCTACTGGATCCCCTCTCTCTCGCCCCCATACCCTTTTTCAGGTAAGCTTTTGTTGTCGATTTTCTCCTTGGAGAAATGGATCTTATTTCTCTTGTTGTGTTGCTGTGTTTGAATTTGATCTTTCTTTCTTACTTCACTTTTGGCTGATTGATGGATTGCGATGATTATGGGTTCCTTTTTTCTTGTTTTTAATTTAAACCTGTCTCTCTTTTTGTACCAGACTCGTTCTCGGTTCCTCCTCTGTTTCTGTGATGTATTCTGTTTTCATTACAAGATTCGTCCCGGAAAAAGTTGTGGGTGGTTTTTGTCTTTATTTGGTACTTGTTGACTGCTGCGGATCTACTCCTCGTTGCTGATTTTTTCTGTCTCTCGGTACCTCCTCCTTTCTGAAGTTTTCCCTTTTTGTGGAGCTGTTGAGTTTGCTGGAAAAACTGAGAAAGATTGCTCCTTTTTCGACTGGGGAAATTGGGGCCGTACTGGTTCTACTCGGCTGACTTGTCTTCTTGAGAGTGGTCTAGATGTGGAACTGAGGGGATTTTTTCTTCTGTTTATCTTTTTTATTTCCTTCGAGTGTTCATTATTGGGAGGGTTTTTACTGAGGATAAAAGTTGAGCTGTCAGTCTGCATCACCCTCCCTTGAACTTCTTGTTTGTGTTCGTTTCCTCTTTGCTGTTCTTTCCTTCTCTTATAGCTGAATTGGTTTACTGAACTTGCTGCGTTTTGTTACTTTTTGTAGGGTTTTCAAGATCGGGATTTCGTTGAAGAAGCGAAATTCTGTTCTCTGTGGTCTGTAGTGTGGAAGATTTGGTGTACTTGTCATCAAGAGAGGGATTGGATTTTGGAAATATGGGTTATGTGTGTGATTTTTGTGGTGAGCAGAGGTCGATGGTATATTGTCGCTCAGATGCGGCTTGCTTGTGTCTATCATGTGATAGAAATGTTCACGCTGCCAATGCTCTATCCAAGCGCCATTCGAGAACCCTCTTGTGTGAAAGGTGCAGTTCACAACCTGCACTAGTTAGGTGTGCAGAAGAGAAGGTCTCGCTTTGTCAGAACTGCGATTGGACGGGTCATGGCACCTCGACATCAGCTTCGGCACACAAGAGGCAAACTATCAATTGTTATTCTGGTTGCCCTTCAGCTTCCGAGCTTTCTTCGATATGGTCTTTCGTTCTGGACTTCCCTTCTGCCAGCGAATCTACTTATGAGCAAAACATGGGATTAATGAGCATAGCTGAAAATGTTGCCACGGAGACATGGCCGTCGTCTAAGGAAGAAGCTGATCGCCAAAATTTGGAGAGTATTCTTCAGATGAGCGATTCACGTGAGGTTGGTAAATCAAGTACTTGGGATGAGTCTCGATTGATGTCTGGGTCAACTACCAACCCACACAGACAAGCTCATCAGCCTGCTGGATCGGGTAGTTCAACATTGCCAAAGGTATATGGTACTTATATTCTCCATCATGAAGGATTGACAATGTAGCTTGTAGTCTTTCATGTGAATTGGTCCTTTTTAGGTGCGTGCATTGTTTTTGCTCCTTTATTATTTCACGCCACAGCCTTTATTCATAATATTATGAGTTGTATGGTCCTAGGTCTTCAATTGGCCACCTGGTCTTTTTGAGCCTCTCTCCTGAGTTGTATATTCCTGGTTTTTGCATCTGATCTATCGATGGAGATACTCATTTGAGATGATTCAAAATTTCACAGTTTCATAGTACTACCTTGACAGTGTTCCACCTAGGGGTGTGTGCAGCTATAAAGCGGTGACTGCAGAACTTTAGCTGTACTGGCACTTGCCATTTATTATTCGAGTAGAAGACATATAAATCCTCATTCGTACATTTATCACTACTGCTGTGTGATTGAAAAAATGATCCCAGTCTTCTTCCTGTACTCTATGTTCAATGATATGCTCATTATTTGTTTGCACAATTTGATTCGCTGTATAATATTGTGGCGTTCTCTTTTACAAGTATATTCAGATCACTAAACTTCATGCTGTAAAAAATGCAGTTAGGTTATCCTGGAAGTAAAAGTGCTACATTCTCTGGAGATGATGGTCTTTATGATGACTTCAATATGGATGAGATGGATTTGAATCTTGAAAACTATGATGAGCTCTTTGGTGTCGGTCTCAACAATCCAGAGGAAGCTTTTGAGGGTGGTGGAATTGCTAGTTTGTTCGGAACAAAGGACATGTCTGGCGCTGAATCCAACTGCCAGGGTTCTGCTGCAGCTGAGGTAATGCTCTTTCATTCGTCGTTCTGTTTTTACAGTACTCCTCCACATGACAAATCTTTTCCCTTGTTCCCTGAGGTTCTGATACTGTCGCCATTGTTGTATGTGTTTATTGATTAGCTGGTTGGGAGGGTTATAATGGGTGCGGGTCGTTGGTGGCCATTGGATATGTCATCATCAAGTGTTAAACTCTTGGGTTAAAGTCTTGATCCTTCCCCTTCTTCAGGTGTCATCAGTTGGACGTGTGAATGCAATGCAGCAGCCCACATGCAGCAATGCAGCATCTGCCGATTCCATTATGAGCACTAAAACTGAACCAGTTATCTGTGTTACGGCAAGGCAAGGTCATTCGACTCTTTCGTTTTCCGGCATTACTGGGGATAGCAGCGCTGCAGCAGATTATCAAGATTGTGGAGCTTCTCCAATGCTGCTTATGGGAGAGCCTCCTTGGGGTCCCCCTGGTGCCGAGGGCTCCCCATCGGCAAACCGGACTAATGCTGTGATGCGGTACAAGGAAAAAAAGAAGACACGCCAGTAAGTTTTGATGCTTAAGTAAAAATACGGCCCATAAGCCAGCTCTTTCTGTTGACTTGACACACTTTTTTTCATTACTAACCGTGTGCTCGTTGTTGCTGCAGGTTTGAAAAGAGAGTGAGGTATGCTTCGCGCAAAGCAAGAGCCGATGTACGGAAGCGTGTGAAGGGCCGGTTCGTGAAAGCCGGTGGACATTACGATTACGATCCCTTGACGGAAACCAGAAGCTACTGAGAGAGTACAGTTTTTCTAAAACCAAAGTCCCCTTCCAGAGAAGGAAAGATCAGATTGTTCTGATGTGGAGAAATTCAATCCTTGTCTTTGCACCAGACACTGGCTGAATAACTCCACTTTTCCTTGTGCAGTGACAAGATGTAACTGACTCTAGGGTCTGAAGAGGAAGGGAGACAAATTATGGCAAAGGAGAAAATGGAAAGGGATTTATAGTGCTCAGGTCCACGAAATTGAGGAGTTCCTTTCCATTCCCATAACCATTGGTGGACTGACAAATTCCTGGAACAAAGGAGAGAGTACCTAGTTTGCAGTGTATAAAAATTGATGAATGCTCGCAACGACGATGTTTTGTATTCTTGGATTCGCAGGCAGTCGCTTTTTCGTGAGAAAGAGCGGCTGATCTCGCAGGCTGTAGAAATTATCTCTGACTTAAGTCCTCAACTTAAGTTATAATTTTGATGGTATGTATAGCAAAGATGAAGAATCTATGTATGTTTGCTATTCAGCGGGCAGTTATGATGATATTGATAGCTGACCCCCAGTGTCAGGGACAGGGAGGGATTAAATGGTCTTTCTTTAGGTGTGTACATACTCCAACAGAACGAGAAGCTGAGGAGGAAAGCTCAGCAGCTGAATCAGGAAAACCAGGCCCTGCTCAACGAGCTCCAGAGCAAGCTCTTTTCCAAGGGACAGAAGAATAACAATGAAGATCATGGATCAACTTCTTCCAGCTCCAAACCAGATGTAGCCAACTCCTCCAAAAACCGTTAATTCTATTGTTCGATAACAGCTTGTCTCTGCCTTGAGGAACATATATATATATATATATATATATATGAGTTTTTCTGTTGTTGTTGGCTTTCTTGTCTGCAATTACACCAACTGATCGATCTTCAAGTTGTAAATTGGAATGAAGACATCAACAGATGATTCCCTTGGGAGTTGGGATTTTACCCCGTTCTGGCATTTAGGCAAAGACCTCAGTTCAATTTGCACAACTTGCCTAGCAGCATTGCATGCACCCACACACAAGTCAACCATTGATGTCCTCAGGACAGATTATACTTTAACTGTGTATTCCCTCGACAGGCTTTCTCTGTATAGAGTGGGGTGGTGATGAAGATGATGAGATGATTTGGTTGTTTTTGAAGTGGTTGTACTACTGGGGGACAGGATAGGGGGACAACCAATATATTTTTTTTAATAATTACATTGGAAATTAAAACCCATATTAAATATAAGTATTTTTTAAAAATTTAAATCCTATACATTTATATCTCTCTTTTTCTTTCTCTACCGGCTACTCCGCCTCGACTGACAGACTTTTTCTCTAGCGAATTCTCTCCGGTAGATTTCCTCCGGTAACCTGGGGGGAAAAAGTACCAGTGCGTTAAAAAGTGTATCAGTCCATTAGTCTACTGGTAATGATTTTTTCTAGTGGTAGGCTACCACTACCATACGGTATCGTACCACTGATAGTGCTACCAATTCTAATGATAGCGTACCACTAACACTGGTTGTTTAAGCCTATAATGTTCTAGGCGGTTGAAAGAGGACGAGCGAAGCGGCTGTTCCAGATGGTGGGTGGGCCCCGGATCCCTGCAAAACAAGGGTAGCTGGGCGGTCGCCCAGGACACCCTCCGATGACTAAGTTAGAGAGAGAAGAGAGAGTTTAGAGATATGTATAGAGAGAGAGAGAGAAAGTAGTTGAGTTACCATCAATGCAGATATGAATGTATTTATAGTGGGTTAGACCGAGTTTGGGACATTTAATGCCGTGTCAGGCGTCTTAGGCACGCCCTGCTTTATTTAAACCGTCTGCGGCGAGCAATTAATGCTTAGTCCTACAGTGTTCGAGGCAAATATCCTAGGAAGATCCCCCTTTTCTGTCACCAACGGCTTCTTGTGTCAGGCGGCCTACTCCTGTCCCATCCTAGGGCGGACGCCTGCCATTCCCTCTTTCCCATGCATGCTCCCTCCTTGGTTACCCCGCTGGGCCTCGTCCGACTTATTCCCCTTTTTGTGCCTGAAGCCCAGTACCGCTCAACTATGGCCCAACAATTGCCCTTTAGTCGTGAAAAGCTTTGGGTTTTGGCGGCTACACACTTTACACAATCTACGTTGAGCGGTCCGCTTCCATCATTATCGCCTTACCTTGGCCCTGGCCACCTAAAGGTAGAGCTTTTCCATTCGCGTCTCAACCCCTCTGTCCTCGCAACACCTACTGCCCACTTCCTGTCTTCAATCGCCTAGGAAAATAACAACCGGTTCATATTTTCTCTAAGACGGCTTACGTGCCAGTACCGTCCCTCGATTGTAAAGGGTTTTCCGGCTGGAGCCTGAGCGGTTCGCCCTGGGCCGCATGTGACGATTCCGCTACTTTTTTGCCCTGTGCATGCTAGGCCACGTGTCATCCCTCGAGTATCGCGCCCTGACAACGGGCAACCCCTACGTCCAATCATCTGCCCGTTTTTTGAATTTTGAGACTAGGGCTTTGCCTCTGTCACTGAACCGTCATGTCGCTTCCCTTTCTCTTCATCCTTGTGACGCTATTTAAATCCCGTCGTCAATCTCTTCCTCATTTTTTCGTTTTCACCAGAATCGCTTCGCCCATTTTTTCTCTGTTCTTCGCCAAAATTGTTCGTTGCTCCCGATTCTCCCTTTCTGCTTACTTGCGGAGCCATCCTCTTCTACCGCCAGTACGATTCGACTTCCTTACCAAACTTAGACGAACCTAGAGGCAGGAGAAAATAAATCGACGACGGCTGAAAATGGCGATCGAGTCTCAGAGTACCACCCCCTCCGATAGCCAGAACCAAAATCTTTCCAGCGACGTCGCCGCCGCCACAACTTTCGGCGACGTTCAAACTTCCAGCGCCAGGGCTAGTGCCCATCGCTCTTCATCAAAGACTGGCGGCGGATCCAGCGGACCGTCCTCTGGGCTCTGACAGCAAGCAGGCTAAGGAAACAGGTATGCTGCACCCCTTCCTTCGAAATTTTCCTTTTTGTTAGCGTTAGGGTTAGCAAGAACTTAAGCGGTCTTCGTTATAACATTTTAGGAATAGAACTTGACCCTGAAACCGCTGGCGGCACGTCGGGAGGTTTGCGAGGAGCGTGCTCAACGGTTGGGGACAACCTGGGAGATTTCTGTTATTCAGACGCAAAGAGCGGACCGCCCAACGCTGCGCCCATGGTAACAATTTCGTCTGACAGCGGGGCTGGTGACCGCTCTGGGGCTGACCAGGGCGATCAGTCACCCTCTTTGGTAGTGTCTGGTGTGCTACCTGTCGAGGCGTTCCAAGCCCTTCACGACACAACGTACCGTGTTAGGCTACACGGAGATATGTGGGAGGGGGGGGGGGGAGGTTCCGCAAACAGCTTATGAACAAGGATCGCTTAATGAGGCTGCATACAAACCTCTACAAGTCCTCCACCAGCTGAAGGCTCACGGCCTTCCTGCTGACTGGGATTATGCGGCCCCGTCTCCCATCGGGCGGTCTGGCTCCTGCCCTGGAGGGTGGATTTCCATCCATGTGGAGCACATTCGAATGGGGTAAACCTTCCCCTTGGACCCTATTATGACGGAAGCGCTGCTATTCCTGAGGTGTACACTAGGACGCCTGTCGCCTGGTATCATCTTTCACTCGATTGCCTTTCGTGCCGCCTGTCAAGAACTTGGGGAGACGCCCTCCTTTGGTGCTTTCCGTCTGTTGTACAAGATGCGTGGTTCGGACAACTGCTGGTCTTGTTATAGGCGAGAAACTAAGGTTGGCTTTGTGCATGGGGCGCCTAAGCTTGACTCCCCTTGGTTTGAAGAGTTCTTCTTCGCTCGGCCGAAGGGAAAGTGGTACTCAGGAGAAGTTGAACTGCTTACTGGGTTTGCGGTTGGTGATAAGAGGGATTGGAATGATGACACCAATGGCCTCGAGCCCTTCCGACCGCTCATTAAGCGGCTAATGAGGGCGGTTCAGTTCTATCTTCCTCCTAAGGGAGATGATAACCCTTTGGAGATTATTCGGCGTTTTCACGGTTAGTTTCCTTTCCTTTGTGCTAAGTGTGTGTCTCATGTTCTTTACTTATGTACTCATTTGGTAGGGACCCGTCGTTATGCTTCTTCAGCTCGACCGCCAAGACCTGGCTCCAACGCTCCGTCTTCTCCTCTTCCTCTAACTGTTACACAGCCAGCCGCCCCTGGAGCGCAGTCGATCCATCCGTCTCAGAAGCAATTGGTGGTCGGCCGCTTAGGAGTGTTGAAGTTGTCTGAACCTGTTGCGACCAAGGGTTCTTCTAAAAGGTCGCTAGACAAGTCTCTGTCGAAAGGCAAAGGGTTGACCGCTGGGGAGCCAAATTTGAAAGGCATCCTCAATGATAATCCCTCGGCTACCCCTCTTGATCCCTATCTTTCGAACAAGCGGCAGAAGAGGACCACCCTTGACTCCACCGTCACCTTCTCCTCGCAAGCTTCTCTCTACCCTGTGGCCGCCAAGCACGCAATGCACTTGATCGCTGAGGAGCTGGCGGTCCCTGAGGACTATACCAGGCACTTGGCGAGTGCGACCGCTCGGTTCTTCTTTGCGGTAGGCTTTGTTCCTTCGTCAATTATTCGTTATCCGACTTTCACCTTGATAATCTTTGATCTTTGTGTAGACCCAATTTGGGCTGAACCAGCTGATGCTGCACAATGACCGCCTGCAAAGTGACCTGGAGGATAAGGGAATCAAGATTGTCCAACTTGAGGATCAGTTGAAGGAGGGCCGCGAAGGGTTGAAGGTCGAGTTGAGGGAAGAGGTCATGTAAGAGCAGGAGACCGTCTTGAAGGAAAAAGACGCACAGCTGGAGTCGGCCAAGGAGTCGTTGAGGAAAGCCCAGGAAGATGCGGAGTGGTTGCGGAAGGAGGTGAATGACTCTGTTGCTCGAGAGAACGCTTTGCAGGAGGAGCTAACGAAGCTGCGAACGGAGAAGGTAGAGATGCAGGACGCTCAGGAAGGCGACATGCTTAAGGCCGCTGAGGAGGCGAGGGCGGCTTTTTGGTCGTCTGATGAGTACAAGGCGGCCGATGAGGCGAAGTACAGCAAACTGCTAAGCGACACGGTGGCATCCATTCGCCACTGGTTCCGTCGAGAATGCCCCGAGGTTGTGTGGGATACCAACGCGATCTGGGATGCGGTCGAGTACTGGAGTGATGACGATGTCAACTCCGAGTGTGCTGCCACTCCAGCCACAGTTGCAACGGAGCCAAGTCTTCCAGAAGAGGCCGCTGAAGGCGAAGTGAACGATCATCAGGATTGAGCGGGTCATTTGATGAGCCTCGCATTTACCTTCCTTTGTTTTAATTTCTAAGCTTTTGAAACTAAGTCTGCCTCAGGGCAGCGAATATTCTGGCGTCCCTTGTGGTGCCTTTTTTATGTTATGTTGTTGTTGCTTCTGGTTTCGAAATTTGGCTAACACTTGAGCGCGGTCATTCACGCCTAACACCCTGATGTGTGCTTTGTTTTTGAACTAGCTCTGAAGACACTTTCATTTTAATCGCTAAGATGCGGTTTAAACTGTCTCGCTGTGCAGCGTGACGCTCGGGAGCGGTTTTTAGTTTAGGAAGTTAATTGTGATTTCACCGCCCAGATGCGGTCATCATTTGTTTGGCTTTGAAGCATGACGCTTGGAGGCGATTTTGAATTGTAAAGAGAAAAGCAAACGCTCAGGGGCAGTGTAGCTTGTTTGAAAAATAGTTGGCAGGAACAAACACTTAGTGGAGATAAAATTAATCCGAATTCTTGGTTACCACCTGGGAGTGGTAACCAGTACAAGCGGGATTTCTCCCC